AATTATATTAACAGAGACTCTGTCACCATCTTGGTACAAAGAATAATAGAATCATGAGAGCTCCTGATACATATATGAACTCCATTTTGCATCATTGTTCTTTGACAATACCGTTACCATATTGTCCCTTGTCGTTGATGTAATTTAGTCGATAAAGAATATGCGTTGACGTCAAGATCATAACAATTCGACTGTGATGCTAAGATCGTCATATGAGGTGAAACTGCCTAGGCCGTTACAAAATGATAACTAAGAGTGTATTTCAATGCAAAAACCCTAACCCGAAGAAACATTTTAAGGCATTCAGCGAAACTCGATGATATCATAGCCTATAGTCTACTACAGGGAAATTATCTATTTTATTTTTTGATAGTCCCCTCCATTGTTTATACACGTCTGCCATTTGGATGGAAGTAAATCAATGCCATTCCGATAAAATGGTTTTCTCCTCAGTAATTTCCAGATATCTTTTTTTAACTCCTCCTGATTATATAGTTAACTTCCTTCATATGATCGTTTAGTCGTCCAAACAGGTGGTGTATGGGAGATGTGAACATATAGACCATCCTTGATTTATTTATCAATATGGATTATGCCTGAACGATCCCAGAAAACAGTACACATCAGCTTTCCAGATGATTTAGCCATTTTTAGCTTTTTTTCAAGTGAAGATGAGGTATGTTTATAAGTCAAAAAAGCCATTTTTGATTCAGGATCATAGAGATGAATCCAAGATTAATCTCCAGCAACTAATTTATATATGTAAATTTATACACTGAACATACAGAAACTAGTATAAACTTGAATGTAAAAATGTTCCATCAACTTATTTGTTTCTATATGTTCTTGTAGCGGTTACAACTACAGTCACAGTGTCGATCTTTACATCTTCTGATATCTGATATATACAATATCTACGAAGGCCTTGATCTACTGATATATTACTTAATTTCGATATCTTCTTTACAGAAAGAAAACTCTTCTTCTTTTACATCGGAAATTTGTTTTTAAATGGATTACTTTATTACCATTGTAGAATTTGCTGATTATCCAATTGGTACTTTTCTTTTAAAATTATCACCAAAATATTTGCAAGATCAACCAGAGGTCTATCTATAAGATGGAAAATCTCCAACTTTTGAAATATTTTATGCCATTTTGGATCTTTTGATCATATTTCTTTGTTACGTCTGCCACAAATTCAGATCGGAGAATATCTCAGGCGCCTTGCTGATTAAATATTTCTTAAAAACGCATGCCAACTTCAGAAGCCACCTTTTGTCCTTAATGGTCTGAGATGAATAAATTCGGTAAAGTTATCCTGGTAACATAGGACATACATTTATCAAATCGATCTGACCCCTTTGGACTGTATTAGCGCACGTTTCATCAATAATACCATCTTCGAATCCTTTTGCATTTTCTGCTTAGAGCTATATTTGTCTGTTCAATAGTTTCTTCATACTTGACGTGTCTAAGAAAGCCTCGTATCTCTCCTGCATCATTTTTCATAAGGCATGAAGCCTGGACATTATACAATAAGTGGTTTCACTTGATGATGCTGGTATTCGCAACTATTTCTTTGGATTCCATTGGTATTGATAATTGTACGATTGATAGGCTCAAAGAATACATCTCATTTTAAATTATTGAAATTCTCTATCAATAGTTTAAATAGTCAGTTTGATGAATTCCAGAAGTTCTAAAACATCGTATTTCTTTGCTAAATAAGTGTAATAGTTTCGTTTAGCGAACGAAACATTTTCCTCAAAATTTTCTCTTGGATCATTTCGTTTTTGTCAGCGTCAAATTTTCCAGAATTTACTTGTATAATTCGTCAAGGGTTGTTCCGCTTTTTGTAGTTCTAAATGCAAACGTTCTATTTTATTACTGACCAAAATGAGATTGTTTCTTCCAAAAGGATGATGATATATATTGTTGTTTATTTCCAAGACCTTAAAAATAAAACAAAATTAGCTACTCTCATTAATAAACATTGTAATAAAACGAAACGAGTAAGGGAAAAAATTCTTCTTTTGGAACTTCTCAGATAGACTTTGTTTGTTCTTTTGTTGAGATCAAAGCTATTATATTGTATAGTCTTAGTAGAATAATTTTTCCTTTACTTTTAAACTAATTAGTTGATTAACATTTAATAATAGAACAAAATTTCATCAATGTACCATGTACAATACCTTCCTAAGCCTGAACTTTCTTTCCGCTACGAGAGTTTACGTTCTATTGACTGGATCCAAATAAAATATTTCTTTTTTCCATTGTCTTCGGCTGCTTTCGCATGTTTAATAGATTATTCTTTTGGTTTTTGCGTTCTTTAGAAAAATGTTATCAACTATAAAAAATGATAACTGGTAAAGGTTTGAAAAAAAAACATTTAAAAATTTCATAAGTTTTCAAGAGAATTTTATTTATTTAAAAATTATTTATAATTATAATTACATCTTTTCCGTATATTCGCTACTTGAAAAAAATTTTCAACCGCATTTTTAGAACCATTTTCTGGGAAAATGTTTTAGAAATTACTGATTGGTCGAATTTTCGATAAATCTGATTGGCTAAGAAAATAAAAAATTTCTTTATATTTATTGGATAAAAATAAGTAAAGTCTGTTTATGATTGGATAAAATAAATATTAAGTCTTTTTATGATTGGTTAAAAATACATAACGTTTCTTTTTTTTTTAATTGCACAATTCTGTTTCTAATTGGATAAAAAATACGTTAATTCCATCTTTGATTGGATAAAAATATTCATAATTCTAATTTTGATTGGATAAAAATGTATAATTATTTGTTTATGATTAGGCTGATAATCCATACAGCGATATCCGTTGATAAAAGTAAAAAAATATTTTTATATTCAATAGAACTTAAAAAAAATAAACCCCAACTACTTATCGATAATTTTACCTTTTAATGCGAAAATACAACTTGAGCGATATTGAAGCTTTAATAAACAATAACTTTTTTTGTTTATATTAGAAACGTAAAGAGGCGATCGCATTTTTTAAAGGTCTTTTTTCGTATTGATATTATAAAGATCATGAAAGAACAATCAAGAATACAATAAGTATCTGTAAGGACAAGTTTCATTAAAAACAAAACAGAAAGACGCAAAAGCAATATTGTTTTACAAGGGTTGTTTTTTTTTCAATGTTAACAAATCGCAGGAACTTAAAGAAAGTAAATGATTTATAGCAAATTTATTTTGCATCAACAAGATATTTGATCAATTGGAAAGGTCCTATAAAACAAAAAAAAATGATATAGTAAAGTTTGGCAATAGTTTTGAAAGTTAAATCTGGAATCATGTAATAAGTAAAGAGAACGAGGAAGAGATCATAAGAGATAAGTTGTTGATTTTGCACATATATATGAATACTGTATATCAACTTCACCTATTCTAAAAGAATATCTGAATAAAAGTTCAATCTTGTTGAAAATCGTTGCTTGTTGACTGGAAAAGGAGTTTATAGTAAAATTGAATGTTGTCGTATTGTTTCTGTACAGCTCTACTTTAAAAGGATAAATTATCAGAAGTGAAAACTGTTTAATTAGTTTAAAAGAATAAAGCATAATTAAAGGTAAAATTGTACTTGTTATGAAAATAGAATTTTGCCAATAAGGGCTTGGTGTTTACAGCGGAGAAAAGTGAATATTATCGATCATTTTGTCTTTATGATAAACTCCATGATATTATTGAGAAAATATAAGCTTGTGTTTATTTTAAGCATAATCGTTCTTATCTAAATTTTCAATGTTCTTTTTTAAGTATAAATATCATCCGTAAAGCAAGCATTTTCCTCAATTGATTTCATAGTTTTCAATCAGTCGAATTAAGAGATATCGACCAGTAATTTTAATATCGATTGGAAACAACATAAGTAAGATAATAAATTGAACCATTATGTTATTATTGCGTGATTGTAATTTTCTGTAAACTAAGCGTAAAGTAAGAATAAAAACGAACATTGATATTCCCTAGCTTCAATGATATAATTTCTACTTGATAAAAAAAATGTATACCTATTCCCGCAGAGTTTCAAAAATACAGTTCAGTCACGTGATAATAGTCATCTAAATAAACTGATCATCAATCATTTAAACTTTCCTGAAGCATTTTGATTAAATACTAATAGTATCTAGTTTGTCGAATTTAACATTGCAGGGTTTGCGTAGATGACTGTTAACTTGAAATTTATAAGCAGCTTTTGCTCTTTCTATATTAATAATATCTATCTCAATACTTAAACTATATCAATGCTATTATGTTAATTATTCTTTTTATGTTATTTATTCTTATCGATCAGCGGAAATCTTTTCCAAACAATAAAAAACATGATTTAAAAAAATGGAATAGTCTCCAAATACTTATCTAATTTCGTTTATTGTTCTACAGTATTGAATAATTTCCTTTAGAATTCTAACAGCTAAACAAGCTAAAAGTCTAACTTAATGATTTAGGCCTCTTTATTCTATTTTCGAATGAATATAGCAATTTTAGTTCGATTTTGTTCTTCGAAAAATTCTTACAAGTAAAATAATTATAATAACTGGTAACGGAAAAAGTAAAGAAAATTAAATTCCTATTTTTATATATTAATATTTTTATATTTATCAAATGCAAATTTTTAAAGTATTAAAATATTCTAAGCTGAAAATATGTGATATTCTTTTTGAGAACCATTTGTCGGCCAATCTTTAAGACAAGCTGCTGATTGGTTGAAAATTATTTAATTTCATTTGTTGATTGGTCGGTTTATTCTTTGGCGGATTTTCGTTTTTGAAAAAGAGATTTTATTTATTGAGAATATAGTTGATAATCAACTATTACAAATATAATAAACACAATAACATCTTACACGATTGATATAATTTCAAAACAGATTAGATTATTCTTGAATTGTTCTAGATTTCGTCCATCTACGTAAATTTTTTATTTTTTTAAAGATATTTCTTAAAGTAGATAAATTGAAAAATGGATTCGGTTTGCTGGGAAAAAAAATATTTTGCCAAAAATATCCATATTATCTTAATTAATTAGTTTGTCTTTGTTTTAAGTTTCTATTTTTTGTTTTAGTCTAAAAGTTAATAATCAATCTGATTGGCTTTGTTGACAATAATTTGCCAAGCTCTTCTCTTATTCCCTCTTACAGGTGTTTTATAAAATCTCTATTGTTAATATGTATTTTTTCTTCTTGTATTTTGTCTCATAAATGATTACGCGTGTGGGGCTTACCAATTTCGTACACTTTTTGTTTCAAATAACTGTATAAATTCTCAATGGGGTTAATATATATCGTTCTTTTTGTGATCTTTAGGCCTAAATTTTTCTTTATTTAGTTGGCAGTTGCTAACTCTTTTCTTTCTTGGAGTCTAGCATATTCTAATAAAGAACGCTTCGTACCGCCTGTAATTTATTTAGAGTTTCCCTCACAAAAACAAAGTTGAGTACGGCAATTTTCGTATAGGCCTAACTCCAATTGGATTTCTCTCTCATTAACAGCGCCAATCTTTTCTTGCCTTCGTAGTCATTCTCCTTTACGGTGTCGATCTGTCGGAGTCTCGCCACCGCGCCAGCTGCGTTGTGTTTTATTTTCACATATTAGCGATGGAGACACCAAAGTGCGTTCCTGTACTCCTCAAGAAGTTCATCTTGGTATTTCTCCATTTCGCGCCTAACATTCGGTCCCAGCTGAGCGAGCAGTAGGTCGAGCTTGTCCCGATCGTCAATGTCGTATTCCTCTACCAGACGTTGGCTCTTTGGCTTGTTCTCCACGAGATGGTAGGGCAATTAGTGTAACGTTTGTTGTGCTCTCCCCCGACGCTGGTGGGAGATAAGTTTCGTTAACTACTAACTTTTCCGGCTTCACGTCTTGCCTCCTCTTCACCAAATTAGCGATTTAGCCTCTATCAGAACTCTTCCGACTTTTTCCGACTCTTATGCTCGACTTCCCTCGTTCCAGAGCGGAGATGTCGCGCATCTTTACCCATCTTCGCTAGTAGAGGCTCCATTTCATTCTTCCTTACTACGCCACGTTGGATAGTTTTAGGGAATCAGTGAACCTCGCCTACATCTCGCCTTGACTGTGCTCAAAATTTTCATTTATGTATCATCCTTTCACACTCACCCATGATTCCTTCACGTTGTGCTTTCATCAATTGCTCGATCGTTTTTTGTGGCTCAAAGCCATTACCTCCTATCTGTTGCCTTTAGGGGTGATTTCCTCATCACTCGACGACCTTCTCATCTTGTCATGGACTTCATCAAGGCCGTGGGGTGTCGTGTGGGCTGTTTGCCCACCAATATCTTCCCGCTGGCGGATTTCCTTGGTGTTCAACTTGTCTGTTAGGACCTTTTTAGTAGTCCGCCGTCTTCCTCAATACCATCGGTTATCGAATCCGTATCTTTAACTATTGTGCTGGCTGCTTTTTCTTCTTTATTTTACTCCTAAGTGTTCTTTGAGGTTGGCTCTTGTCTCTGACTCGCAGATAAAACTCTGATGTCGCCAATTCCTGCTAATTACATTTTCCCATTCTGGAGAGACCTCAGCTCGTGTTCATTTCGCTGCGTTGTGATCGTTCCACTGTCAGTCCGTACCCGTTCTCAAACCTATGCTTAATCTCCTTGCCGTTCTTGCTTCCTATTTTTTTTATCTGCTCTAGCTCAAAGTTAAAAATCTATTATCGTATTAAACTCGTATTTTCCCTTTTTTATTGTATTTAAACGGATTGAAATATTAATTAATCAATAATTAAGATTTTATATTTATATTTTACAAATGTTTTTGTTTTGTTTGTATAAGAAATCTATAACTTACGTCTTGAAATACGATTTTACACAATTTCCATTCAATATAGTAGGTATGGTAAATCGTAAGTTGTCAAACAAATTATGTGCTAAAATTCCATACAATATTTACTACGGCCAATATATTTATTTGATTAATTTTTCAATATTTTCCAATTCAATTGTGCAATTAATCATTAAAATATAAACAATCAGAATCATTTATAATACTAGAATACTTGTTATCTTCATAATAGGATTAAAAATATAAGCATAAATAGTATGAGTAGGTAAATTGCAATCGTAGAAAAAGACATTTGTATTTACAACAATCATTCGATCAATCATTTTACATTCTTTAAACATTTGATTGTTAACTTTTCCAAATACTTTAAAATATTCAATACTTAAATTAAATCCACCAAATCCAATTCCAGCAGATATTGTATTAGCAATAGAATTTGGTACAATAAGTTGATCTTGAAGAGATGTTTGACAATTATTAAGGAAACTTTCTATCGGAACTATAAATACAAGAAATAAAGCCTATAGAGGGGGGAAGATATTTAAGAACTTACTAGGTACACTATTAATGTTACAGATATATATGTCCACTTCGCTTAGTTTGTAATTATGTGTTCCAAATATTATTATCTTATTTATCGATTTAATTGAGAAATTCTCGCATACAGTTTGTTGGTAACGAAATTCTGTATTGACATTGTAGTTATGTACGTTTATATCGTCCTTCAATAAACGAACACCTACGCCATTAGCCCTTTCAATACCACTTGCAAAAACTGAAGAAAAATAATGATAAGCCTGATTTAAATTTAAAAACAGAAAGCTTATCTATAAAAAGATAAAATGTTTTACTCGTTAAACAAATAGTATTTGAAAAGATCGTCTGTGTTGTTATAGAAATAGGTTGACTTGGCCCAAATGCAATATTATCTGTAGTTCCATCGCTAAAATATATTCCATCGTTTAATATATTTGTTAATTGGATATTATCCTTATGAACAGAGATAAATTGATTCTTTTTTTCAATGCATTTACTATTGATATTGGTATCGTTTAGTTTCTTTACATGTATAGATAAATGAGATATTCTCAAAGTCATAATAGGATTGCCACCAGTTTCTGCTTTAATAAGAACAAATCTGCCGGATATGTATTGAGGTGAATAACCAACATAGGTTGGATAATAGTTGTAATTATCTGATGAAGAATCACGTATATGAGCTATCATACTAGACTGTGGAGGAGATTGGAAAGTTTCAGGAACTTTGAAAATAGTTATCCTTACATCTTGAAACATGTATCTACCTATTTAAAAATACTTTTTTTTAATAAATACAAACTATTACAGCTATTAAGATATTTAAGTTTCTTTTTCTTACCAGTTGATTTGTATGTTTGTATGATAATCGTTTGAACTTGTCGAGTTGCCAGTAAATCTAGTCTAATAAAAGGTTTTATTAGGGAAGGATTATGGTAAAAAGTTTCAATATAAGTTGCAAAATTCAAATCTTGAAGAGCAGATGGTTGTGGAGAATTTATATATTGTCCATAATAAAAATTCGACGATGACAAGTTGAAAATTTCATTCTCTATGAAAAGAATTAGTGTTATATATTTCAAATATTGACGTCATCCCTAAAAATTCTTTACCTGAATTTTGAACAATAGTTCCCTTTATTTTAATATCACAGGCAGAAAATCTGAATACGTGTCCCTTAGTTTTTATTGAAACGTAGGAACCTGTACAGCTACAGGTTTTACACTTGTAACTGACGGGGCTGAATGTAGCCTCATAAATTACTTCAAAATTTCCATCTATACAGGTAGACTGTTCGTCGTCTGGAAATTCCCCAGCAAACACTTTAAAATCTTTACTGTAAGCTGAAAAGAATAAAGCAAACTGTTTGAATTCAAAACTTTCAATTTAGGTAAAAGAAATTCTTTACATTGTCCTTTACAATTCCACATGCATATCTCTTCTATATTGTATTTATGACCCAAATCAATTGACCACCAGTCAAGTTGATTAGCTCTTAGATTATTATAAGTTTCTGTTAGCCCATTTGGTAGTAGATAATTGGCTTGAGTTGCTCTATTAGTTTGATCTTTTTCCATACTTTGATACGATAATCGACCCCTGGCAATGTTTTCATTTTCTAAAATCATACAAGTACAGGACACTACCAGGAGTGTAATAAAAAACAATACATTCATATTTGCTTGTAACCGACGTAGAATGAATCAAATTTTTCTTTAAATGTAACATTCTTTGTCAATAATATCAATAGATCGACAATATATATATTTTTATTATTCGATGATAAAGAAAATATCATATATGTCAATATATTGTACAATATTTTATTGTTCATTCATTGCTATAGAGTAGCCAGCGTTTCTGCCGACAAACAATCATTGCTTGTTTGACAATAACATAATAAAATTGTTTATCCAATTCTTACACTAACCTATATAAATATATAAATAATAATCCTTCAATTTTTCATTCTCTTCAGCCATTTTTAATATTTTTCTTTCGTGTTTTATTCGCATTTCTTTAATGAAAATGGTATCTCTTAATAGAAAATCGAAATATTCACACTGTTTATTATTATTCTTATTTAAATATTTCCAAATACTCCTTGTTTATAGTACCATAAATGTTCAATAAGGGAAAAATCAAAGACCAGCTCAAATACCTAAAACTAGCAGCACAAGCCACTTTTCAACTTTCTTCTTTCAAATCTTTTCAGAATTATCCCTTAAAAAAAAAAAGAATGTTAAAAAACGAATTAATCCATAATCCATTCATTATTTTATCGAATTTATTAATATTCCTTAAATATTCTTTATTATTTTTTAATTCTATTTAAAAGAACTACGTTCTTCCTTTAAAAAATTGTTCCAAAATATTTGCCAGTCGTACTTGTACTTATTCTTTATATTGATAAAAAAAAGTCTATAACTATTATTTACATGCATGTCAATAGATTTAATTATGAGTTGGGCGATAATAAAAAGCTTATCTGAATTTCTATAGATTTATTCAAACTAGTTGTCTTTTGCTTTTTTTTTGTTGTTTTTCGAACAAGTTTTTTTCCTCTTATTTTTATATTTTCAAACTTTTACTTGTTTATTTGTTTGTTTGTTTTCTTATACAACAAAAAGTTTAATTATTAAATTATCACTCACTTAGGACGTTCTATTCAATCAAACGTTCTATAGAAAGAACATTCTCTTCAATCAAACGTTCTATAGAAAGAACATTCTCTTCATCATCCTTCTAACGTTAAGTTTTTTATGTTTTTTATAGAGACATTGAATATAGAAAGAGATTTCTTGTATGTAGGTCTAAAAAAAATGCCTTAGATAAAGAAATCAGTAGTTATTTTGTAATAATTAATAATAACATTAAATCAATGTCAAAAGATTTTTTATCAAGGACAGTCCTTGTTACTAATTAATAAATTCCTAGAATTGAGGAAATTTTGGTTTATTTACGATAGTTTCGTTTTATCATAGATTACAAAAATAACGATTTTAAATGGAATAGCAATTTAGATTTTTTTGGAATATAAGAAAGAAATATTTTGGATTTAAAGAATTATAATGGAGCGATATTAAGAGATAGATAAATATCAACAATGAATATCTTGATAACTCAAAAACACTCGGTAAGTTATTGGTTTATAAATGGTTTCTTATTTTGTTGGTTTAGAAGAAAGATATTAAATTCAATTGTTGAAATGGCATAGTCAACAACATCTTCTTCAGAAGTTTAAAAAATATTACGACAAACACTCTATGCGCTCTAAACCATTCAAAGATAAGCGTTTAAGATGATAAAGATAAAGTGACGATGATACGGCGTTTAATTTAAAAATATAAACTTGAAAGTTTATTTTATTTTGAATTTATACCGATAGATGGCGATACATAAACAGTTTTTTACAATGGGAGCTTAAGGCTTTTAACTTTGATGACATATTTCATTTGTTTATATGCCTATACGTATATATTACATATTGAGAATAGCGATTATAGAGTTAAATTTAATAGAATATATACATTCTAGAGTAAAATTGTATTAATTAATCGCAATATTTCAACGCTCTTGAATATTTTATAATACAGTAGTTGTTCGATTAGTCGCATTATTTAAATAACTTTATATATATATATATATATGTTGAAAATATAAAAAACAACAATATTAATTCAAATAAGAGAGATAAATAAAAACTGTTATTGATGTACCACTTTCTTTTTCGGAATATCAAAAAGAAGAGATGAAAACAATTTTTTTTTATTATAGTAATTCGTTCAATGTCAAACATTTATCTTTCTTTTGTTTTTCTTTTCCCATCCACTATGGATCTGTTTACAATAATTGAATATTTGGAGACGATCCCTGTCAATCTTTAAAAAATAGAAATTGGTTTGAAAATTGATGCTTCGGCATAAGCAATCGACTAGTAGAATTCAATATTAATAGAAATAAGAGAGGGAGGGAAAAGTTATTGATAAGAAAGACAAACTATTTAATTTATTTAACATTAATGCATAACACCTTTATCTTGATTAATACTTAAAATTCTAGATCTAACATTTGACTATAACTATAAATCATTCTATAATTTATTAACAGTATTGAAGGGTTCTATTAAGTTTGCCATTTACTCCTCTATTCAAACGTCTATCAGGGAAATAAAACTTGACAAAAATAAATCTATTTGATAAATTGATATGGCAAACAATACTTCTTGACAAACTTTGTTTGCCATAGACAAGATCGATTATATAAATATTTCAGTTTCCTTATTATTCCTGACTATAGTACTGTCATTTTTTTCCTTTTCATAAAAGTTATCTCATTTATTTGACTAAGTTTGTAATTTACTAAGTTAAATAATTCACACAAGATGTAATATACGAACCACTAAAAGATAAAATACAGATTACGACAAACTAAACAACTAATTCAACTAACGTGCTTAGTTAATATACAAAAAAAATATTGTCATTAGTGATAGAAATGATAAGAAAATTGCACAAGTAGGTTTTAAAATTGACGTTGAATTACAGGTATTCGTTTTACAATAACAAACTGTAACACCCGACGAAGTGACGCATTCAGATTTAACAGAGGTACCTGACCAACATCCTCTAGAAACGGTACTTCCAACTGGAATAGCGTCGATATTTAAAAAAAAAAAAAAAAAAGTGTTCAAATATCAAAATACTCTATAAACATAGTCTATAACTTACCAACTCTCTTTTCGCAAGCTTCCTTAGCTTTACAAGTTCTTATTGCGGCGTCTCCTTGAAACTTTAAACCGCAGTTATTATTTGATAGATTTGAACATTCATAACAGGTAATATCACCTAATAAAAGAAAGAAAACATATTACAATTATTCATATACTTTTTATCTTTTACCTTTTATAGATGATGATAGGAAAGCAACAATCAAGATCAAAATACTAGTTTGTCTCATTGCATCAGTTAAATAACTGCAAAAGAAAAAAGTATTTAAAAAAAACACAACTAATACTGCTTAAGGGTAAATGAAAACTTTCTATAGATCTTCTCCAGATATTTATTTATCAATGAATGATTATACTATATATATATATTATCCCAAATATGTAAATAGACTGTATACATTTACAAATGAACACGTAGCAACCTTTTCATAATTAATTCATAACTTTGAAAATTCCCATATAGTTACAACAGAAAAATACGACATGAAATAAACTAGTGTTCTTGTCAACTTTCATAATTTATGATCCATAGGCCTATGGTTTATGTTTTTATATTGATTGAAAAGGACAAACTAAACTTACTGAAGTTGCTACTTCAAAAAAGAAAATAATAATAATAATAATAATAAAGTAATGATTACGTCTTGCTATAGATGGCACTACTATCTGTTTATGTTTGCAAAACATGTTTTCTTTTAATTTAAAATTTGCAGAAATATTGTAGTATTGATATCTGATGTACTGTTAGTATAAACTTTTATCGCTGTCTGACAAACTCTGAACAGTTTGATTTTATTAAACTAATTTAACAGTCCTTGGAAGGGACAACGTGACAAACAAGAAAAACAAAACTATTAAAATTGTTGCCAATTTCACCAAGTAAAAATTTTGCATAGTAAGCTTAAAATCTCATATAGTATACGATTAGGAAGTTGCTTAATGATATAACCAACTGCCTGGAGTTGCGCAAACTTTCGTAATAACTACTGTTTCGATGATTCATTCTATGTATTAGTAATAAAAAATGGAAAATAAACAACATCTGGTTTTTACGTCAAAATATGGCTAAAGTTTGTAATTTAATATCTTTTAGATTGTTTTTTAAAGAGTATATTTGAATTCTATTAGACGTAAACGAGCATTTGAACCAATATATTTGTCTACCATTTTTAAACGTTTGACCATTAAAATTACTAACTTTATATAAATTTTGATCTGCGTATGCTAACATCAAAATATCTAATAAATCTAGTTTGTCATCTTTTGTTATTATTCCAAATTTATTATACGTATTTGCCAATGAAATGGTCGCAAATATGTCATATTGTCTTAAACAATCCTTTGAAGAACCATCGAACAATTCTATAATTAAAAAATAAAAAATGACAAACAATCACTAATTAAAAAAAATCTTTTTAACAAACCATATCTTATTCTACTATAGAATAAATCAACTTCAGTTATTTTAGCTTTAGTATTTATTAATTTAATAATTATTGTATTAATTTTTGAATTAGTTTTTAGTGATTTACAAGCTGTTTGTCCTAAGACGGAATTTAAAATTTTCATTGTCAAATTAGTATTAGATGAGAGTTGAATGGAGAATATACCAGGAATAATTGTTTTCTTGACAAAAAACGTTAAACAAATATAATCAATTTGTAACATGGACTTGAGTGAAATTGTAAATTCTCGGTTTTTTAAAAGAGATAAATGATTTTGTTGAAATGAATAGAAATTATCTGTAAGTCCATTCTTATAACCTACACCGCTACTTAAAATTGATGATATGTTCTCTTTCAACGATTCGTATTCATGATTATCATCATTTAGAATTTTACCAAATATCTTTAGATTTGCTATTGTAATATTATCTTCCAAGAAATCAGTATCTTTTCCCATAAACAAATATTTTCCAGACCTTGCTGGAATACAATTGAATATATAAGTAAAATATCCAACGTCTACAATTGGAGCAGTATATTTTTTGACGCAATAATCCTGGTTGGAATTCAATTCTGAAACTGGAATCCAATTGACAGAAACGTAGAAATTTTCAAAAACCATTTCATCTAAAAAGATATAGGTTAGATGGTTTCAATGACAAAAATAACTATATATCTACATAAAGTACACATTTACCTTCAGTCTGTACAACGTCAACGAAAAGTGCCCTAATTGTAATTGGATTTTGAAAATCCAATCTGATAAACCATTTTTCTTGGAGGTAAGTACTATACAGATTATCGAATAATACATTGACATTCTTTGTACCATTAAACGACTTTGTCTCAATTGAATTTATAATTTGATAATCTAACGAAAGAAATACATATACAGTATTATTATAATTATAGGCAATAATTTAAATATTTCTCAACTAACCCAATAATTTCACAACAGTACCCATAGCTTTAAAATGCGATAATCCCAACTCACAACCATTGGATATTATTGTTAGAAAAGAACCTGTACATGTTGTCTCATAACAACGATAATAAAAGCTTGAAGTTTGTTGTTCTTTGTTAAAGTCACTTGTACTCTTTACGCATATTTCCTGGTTTATCTCATCCATCAAATATTGTTGACTATTGATAGTGAAATTTCCCAACTTTGTATCGGCTTTCTTATTAAGATATATACAAATTTGAGTAATATTATATTGATTTTTCAAGTAAACTGACCACCAACTAACACTGTTAATGCATACAGAGGATTAGTGGTAGTGTTAGTTTTTAGATTATCATTTCCAAATTCGGGTAAAAAGCTGTCATTGAATCTCGATGATGCTACAACAGGAAGGCCTATAGCCAAATTTACATTGTTACAATGTACATAATTGATTATAAATAAGAGAAGAAAAAAAATTGGATGTAATTGAATTTGATAAAACATATCCTCTCTTTCGCAGGGATGCTCTTTTCTTCTACTTCTTTTTGAAACGAATGAAAGAAAATATCATATAAGCCAGTTAAAATTTAATAGATTGTACATATTTGCTGATAAATTGACAAATGCTATAAAGTTTACATATTTTTAACAGTATCTTAATTTAGACAATGAACACACTTAATTAATTGGTTAGTTTTTAAATTATAAATTATACCTTATTGACTAGCTGTATGCGTGATAAATTCTCTTTTCCCTCTATCATCTTTTGTGCCTACGTATGCTTTATCTATCTTATCTTCTCATAGTAAATTCTATGGAAATTACGCAATTGGATTATTGTTATCCATATCAGTAGGCCTATGAATTCCTTAAATAACTCGTTACCTCTGTATTATTTACTCATAAGGGGCGTTTTTATTTTCACACTATTAGACTGTCTCAGTCAAAAAAGGGTATGATTGCAAAAAACGGCTTTAATCATAAGTTGTAACTGCTTGATGATGTCAGGTTCGTCTTATCACAAATAAATTTGAATAGTTCTCCTATCTATTACTTATCAGACAATTGTTATCAATTATCAATCGATGTCTTATGTATAAAATCAACTTCCCATTAATATAAATATTAATTGAGAGTTGAAAATATTACATTTTCTTATCCTCTTCTTTCCATATAATTGTTCCATTTGGTATAGTTGAAAATTAGTATGTTCCACTTCCCTTGAACAAAAGAAAGATTTAAGGAAGTATAATGTTCGTCCGTGACAATCCGAACGGAGATCAGTGTCTTCATTAGGCAGCAAATAGGTCATACAGTATAAAAGTTATATTAAAATTGTAAAAATTTTCTTTACCCTATCATTTAATTATTATCGAACAGTGATAAATAAGACGAAAAACCACATTTTACATATTATCAATGATTAAAAATAGCTTACCTTTCAGGCATTAACAAAAGACTTTTAAAGTGTTTAATAATAATATAATCTAAAACAATAATGAAACTATTATGATCCTTTTAAAGAGGAATACACTCGGATCAGAAGTTTTAATAAATGTTAATTTATCATCTTTAACCATTAAATTATTTCAAATGTTTAAAAAGAAAAACAATAGTAAAGAATGGAACGTTCTATTCGCTGCGAATCTTTTAATAATTTCCCGCGAAGTAAATAATAAAATTTTCTTTTTTATTTAAATTATTCATATTATAATTATAAATTAATGTATTAACTATATTTTAATATATGCAGTATTTCATACTTTACCCGACTATAATTAACAGGATTAGATCATTCAGTTATCGCTCATTAAAGAAATGTTCTTTACTTAAATTAAAGAACAACACCCACACACACGAACACAAACCGCTATTAACCAATCCTTCTACATACTAGACATTTTATTCTTTACTTATAATTTATATTTAACTTTAAATTAGACTAATTATGAATTAATAGTGTTCAAAATGTTTTTATTCGTATAAAAATCAATTTATATCAAAAGTGCAAAAATCGTAAATACAATTCCAAAAGTTTTTAAAATTGGCTTTAGATTTGAGGATGAATTACATTTGTTTTTATTGCAGAAGCAGGCGGCAACTGAGTCGGCTGTCGTACAACCACTAGAGGTGGCAATAGGTGAACAACCTCTCATAAAAATTGTTCCAGCTAGAAACAATCAAAAACACAATTAAATTAAAGTTAAATTATATTATTAGACAACTGACCAACTGTTTTAAAGCATTCTCCATATGTTATACAAGTAGAAATATTATCAGGTTTAAACGGATTACCACAATTTGGATTTAAAACAGAAGTACAAGAAAAGCAAGTTATTTGTCCTTTATAAATAAAAAACTTAATTAAAATACAATATATTAATATAATTATAATCCTACCTTTAGAGAAGGCAAAGAGAGAAACAGACAAGAAAAATAGAACCAATATAGCAAATTTCATCTTTTTTTCTTCTTTTTGAAAAGAGCAATCTTCAAATTGTTATTTCTTTTTGAAATCGCCTATATATACAACTTCTTATCTATGTATTTTTGCTAATAAGTGGGAAATTTTTAGTAAGATTTAAACTGAAATCATTTCTATATCTTTGATATCGTTCAAAGTTCTATTTAATTTATTTTAATGTTTTTACAATCTAGTTCCAACAAGTTCTAATTTATGCAAAAAAAATATAACAAGGCATAACAAGATAAATACTAGTATTGTCATTGCAATAAGGGCATAGTTAACGATTCTATTAGGCTTAATTATCATATTTTCTTTATCACTTTCCTCTAAATCCAATTGGCAATCTTTCGGATCCTGTTAGAAGAAAAGTTAGGAGAATAGTAAAAAAAAAATTGTATACATTATAGGCCTAAAAGTATGATAATAACCTCGCAAATGTCAATCTTTGTTTCGTTTAATTCAATTGAATGTTCATTAATAGGACATAAACTGCCTTTATTCGATTGAATGGGTATTAGTGGAATATTTTGTGGTTGACTATAAAAAGGATTGTCTCCGGCTTGAATCTATAGATAAGAAAAACATGGAAATTTCGAATTTATTTTTAGAATATTTTATATACCAATTCATTCGTTAGATAAGTTTGAAAATCCATACTATTTCTATTCTTTGGATTGAGATAGATGACTTTATCATTGAGATTTCTTCTAATAAACTCATTATAGACCTTAAAATGTTAACTAGTTATTAATATATATATAACACTATATTAAGAAAAAAAAACCATTGTTTACATTTGTCAGAAACGTTATTGCTCCCTTTTTATCCGTATTAGGATCAATATATAGCATGAATATCAGATCTTCCCTTACCCAATAATAATAGATATGCCTGAAAGATTAATAGATTAACAACAATCATTTCTTCTCTTAGGAAAACTATCTACCTTTTCTTCTGATAGAAAGAGTCTCCACTATCTAGATTTATCTTCTTTAAAACCTTACCACATTTTTCCTGATAAGTTCTTAAATTCTTCTGCGAATTATCAATACAAGCTTGGCAAAGTATATCGTTCTTAAGATTTAATTTCTTCCTCCATATACTAACGTATTTTATCATTATTCCAATCTATTCCCTTTTCGCTCTTCTCTCACAGAAGATATTCTCTTTTTTGAAAAGATTAACCATGATCGCTAATTTATATATATGACGAAGAAATAAACGTATGGATATTTTGCATAAATTTCTGTTTATAGAAAACCAAACTATGAACGGTGAGTAATCTAAAGAAGAGAAAAGAGGAAAAAAAGAAAAACCGTTCAATATTCCATATTTAATAGTTTCCTTTATAAAAAAAAAATATTTTTTTTTATTTTTCTCTGTTAAAAATATTGGTTTTTGGAAATTTTTTTTTCTAAACGATAATCACTTGATCTCTTATCTTAAAAATGCTTGATAAAAATAGTTTTTTAACGGCCTATATTTATAACATGCTAGGAAATACCAAAAATTTTAAGATTTTTTTCTTCCTCATCTTAACATCTTAACGTTATCGACTATCAAAGACGAAATAGGCAAAACAACAACGAAAATTGATGTTAAGAATTTATCTTGTAATCGCAAACTTACACTCTTTATATTCATTATTATAATTGTACTAGAATTCGGACAATTGCTCGCCTAAAAAGGATTATATTTAAAAGGAATTGAAATAAATATATTAAATGGACAATTGATATAATAAACCAATTCAGTAATTTCCTTTAAAAAAAATGATATAAAAAAACAAAAAAAAAGTAATTTAATCATTGATAAGAAAAAATGAAAGTTCTCTTATCTTTAACATTAATTTCAGCTCTCTTTCTAAACGGAAAATCAATTTGTAAGATAAATAATAGTTTTTTATTTTCAATGTTTTATTGTTTGTAAAATATCCTCTTTTTATTTGTGTTCTTTAGCCGTAACATCCGATGTATGTTTGCAACAAGCTAATAAAATTTCAAGTTGGCTTGAGAATGAAGTGCCTAAAGTTTTGGAAAGAGTTGAATATGAGAGATTTCTTTTTCATCTATCACAAAGTATTAAATTCGATATCTTAAAAGATCATAACAAATTGTCAGAGGTTGTTTGTAAAATTTTAAACGCTGAGACATTGTTTGAGTTGAGCGAAGAAATTATTAAATACACAAAGCCTAGAATATCCGCTATGGAATTTTCGTTTGCTTTCGAAAGGCAGTGTATATATTTAAGGAAGTTTCTTAATGACTATAACTTTTTAACACTTGTTAAAAATATTCGAGAACTTTTGGAATACCTTCGTGATAATATAGTTGAAAAGAATCTATCAGATTCGGAGAGGGATGATAAAATTGCTGAGCTGTTAACTCGTTTATCTTCAAAATTTGGTCACGGTTGGTTATATAGTCTATACGAATCGCATATAATCGATAATTTATTCAATTCACCCGATGTATGGGAAGAGACTGACAACGTTAGAGCTATCGCTGAAGAAATAATAGGTAGAATTATATATAAACAGTAGTTTGGTAGTTTATCAAACATTAATTTATCTTTCAACTCTTCTTTTTTTCCAGTAAAATATTCCAAGCATTATGACGGTTTCGATTGGGATAATAATAACCTTGAATATCTGTTGATTAGATCCTATAATATTGCTAAATATTATTCAAAAAATAAAATCAATCAGATGTTACAAGCTGTCGAGAAAGGCTTTGCAATATTTGAATACTTTAATAAAGCTGGTATCTTTACTCGCCCCAAATGCAGTAACGTCAAAACACTTGATAAGATAGTTGCATTTATCAACGAGTACAAAGATATCTTACCAAAACACTATCCCCAAGAAGGACTTATTTTGGAGATTTTATCTTCCCCTGAACATTTTAAGATTGTCAGCTGCTATATGATTAATTCAAAAGATAAACAACAGTTTAATAATCAATTAGCACTGTATTTATACATTCCAAGGCCAATTATTGAATCATACGAGAACAAAATAGTTTCTTACCTTCTTCCCTCTGATTTTTACATAAAATCTGTGAATATTGCCAAAGATATACTATCATTTATAGTCAAAGAACGACCTACAAATATTCAAGCGAATGAAGTGAAAATTTTCTTGGACAGCTTAACAAAAACCTATGGCGAGAATTGGTTAAAATATTTGGATATTTTTGATTATATGGGTATTTCCAACTTCAACGAAGCGAATAGTCAACTGGCTAAAGTGTTTCTTGGTATTATTAAATCATATATACAGCATATACTAATATTTACAGTCACTGTATTTGTAATTGTTACAAAGATAAAAACTTTTAAAAATATGTTTAAGGTTTAGATTATTTCATAAGCTATTAAATAATATTAACACGGTTGCTATGACCCTAAAATTAAGAGTTATTGTCTGCCAGATCACATACAATAACAAGGAAAATGGAATTGTAGATTACGAACAAGCGCATATTTAATCAAAACTGGATATTCTACAAAACTGTTCAATGCCTATTCAGATATTATTATCTCAATTTGATTTTTAATATAAAGATAAGATAACTGTAAAGTATAAAACACCAAAATAGTCATATTTTTAGAAGTTTTTTCATTGTAACAATTCCTTATTATTGTAACTGTATATAGTATTTACAGTCCCAAGAAAAAGTCTCTAGCAGGGTTGTTCTTATACTGGAAAAAGTGAATTATTCAACTAGCAGAACTCAAAGATGTAATTCATTAAAAAAAAAATTTCTTACTTTTTATTAACTTTTACTTAACAACTTTTTAAAATAAGGCGGAGAAAAAGTTTCTGGTAAAAATGATAAAAAATTCCACATTTAAGTCAATAATTTATTAGGTATCGTTTATTTTGGATCACAAGACGATACCGTTTTTTTATAAACTCTTTTCTTCAACATTATCCAAACATTTTTCTATAATATTTAGATATGGACTTGACTTTAGGCAAGCCAATCTTTAAGGTATGACATCTTGCCCCATCTTGTTGGAAGACGTTTCTGTCTGTTGTGAATTAGTAATAAATGCTCTTTTAATGTCGAGACAATATGTCAGATCTCGCGAGCCATTATATTTTATAGCTCTTCAAATTATAAGTTTACACCCTTGTGTTTTGAAGCTTTTTATGGTTGTTTTTTTTTTCTTTTTTTTAACAGTAACTCTATATCCGCCTTATTTTAAAAAAATTAAAAATAAAAACAAAATTAGTTGTAAAAATACCTTATCCTCTTAATTCTAAATAAAAAATATATATAATTAAGCAAAATCCTGTTAGTTAAATAATTCACTTTTTCCACTATAAGAACAACCCTGCCAGAGACTTTTTCTTGGGACAGTATATGTATTTTATTTTACCAAATAATTATTATTTTCCATTAGATTCCGAAAAAGACGATGATTTCTATAGTAATCTGGCTGAAGTTATGCCTGAAAATATAGTTAAAGTACTAAGAAATATCATAGTCTTCCAGAATCCCATAAGCTGGCATGATCTTGTCAGTATAGGTAAACAGGTTACCGATATCTACACTGACCTTGAAAATATTGGTTTAATTGATTTAATTAAGACTCCTTCTAAAAAATGCGATTCCAGCAAATATAGAATGATAGGAAGAACATTGGAATATTTTGAAAAGAATAAAAGTGTTCTCTACAATACTATAATTCCCTTATTTAATAAATATTTAGGCTATACCATACCTGGCGTTAGTATAACCCAATGGATTTCCGAATTTCTATGTACCCTTTCAGAATCTTCAGAAGAGGATTTCGAATTAAATTTATTCGGTTATCTTGGCAATTACGATGGCTATTTCTTTGGAAATTTGATAAGTACTATATGTTCAATTAGCGACGAAACGGGCGATGAACATTTCACTCAGGCGATAGACATTTGGGCATCCGTTTTTAGATATTACGAAATATTAGAAGTAAAGAAAGCCAAAAATATTGACGAGAAGGCAATTCTTGCATTTGTTGAAGATTCTTTGAGAAATATGACGCAAACTTTTGGAGATAATTGGACGTCAAAATTGGATCCAACCGGTAATTTCGCTTACCAGCTGCAGTTTAACTTTTGGTACAATATAGAAACTGTTGCTAAAGCTCTTGTAGAATCCGAAAATGTATTTGAATTTAATAGCAAACTGGCAGGATTCTATTATGGGTCTGCTGACAATAGCATCATTGTATTTGATATCGTTCAAAGAGTCGTCGATTATGATTGGAATGCAGTTATAGCTTCTGTAAAAGAATTTGCTAATCTTCTAATCGAATTTAAGGATACAAATATCATGAAGAATTTGAGGCAAGATTTCTATAGAGGGTTAGGGTTATATTTATCTTAATAAAAATACAATATATTTATAAAGTCTGATTGATTGATTTTTGTTAATAGTCGTATTCAAGAAAAATAAAAACTTACGAATTATTTAATTTTTCACAAATAGGAGTAATGAGATCAATAATATGAATTCTTTTCGTAGATGTTCCTATAAGTTTTCATAAGTTGCCCTTAAATGAATTGATTGAAGAAAACACTTTAGAATCTCATCGTCATACTTCCCATTTCTACTCTGTTACATTTGTCATCTACTCGCCTCTGATGTCAACTTTATCTTTTCAGTTAATATTTACAGTTTCATCAATAATATATACAACGTTTTCAATAAAAACTTACAAAATTATGAAAAATTCCATGTTGTCCAAGAAGTGTGTTGAATCAGGCAACGAAATTAAAATACCCGTTAAACATTAAAAATACCCGTTATCGCTTCGAGTACAAAAAAGTGTGGTGTTTAATAAAAAGCATCTTACTTTTTATTTTCTGGTAAAAATACACAAAAAGTGAATTAAACATATTTTTTCTGCATTCTAATCTTCAATTCATTAATATAGTTACTTACTCTTAGTCTACAATATAAAAATATTCACCAATTACCCTAGAACCAGTCTATTTGGGTATTTTACCCAAAGAAAACTTTACATCATACCGTAACCAATTGTTATATTGTGCTAAGTTGCTGTATTAAAAACAACTATCTATTTGCTAAAAGATAAATAAATATTAGCTTAAAGAGTATCAAATGTAACATTTACAATTAGTTACCCACAAAACGTCAAATAATTCAAGTATTCTAATTGAAGATAAGGAAATATGGATAAATAACTATTTACAAAATGGAAAATTTCCTGTCAATTGAACTTTAAAATCTTTTTCTTTCGAAAGAAAGATTTTAAAAAGTGAAACAATTGTTCGGTAGCGTTTATTTAAAAAGTTTCTATTAAATGTTTAAATACATTTTTATATTTTTTATTAATAATGTTAATAAAAGTTGGCGTCTTTAAATGATACTACAAAAAGAAACTATGTTGAAGTGTTTTATACAAAAAGTAAATACTTTTTATTTTCGATTGTTGACAATTTAAATAATGCGCCTTATTAGCTAGATTGAGTAGATGTCAAAAAAAGTGGTTATTTTTTAATTACAATTTTTCGCTAATAATCGGGTTACTTATACCGGAACTTCCGTTATACATATCTTTTCCACTTCATAATTCAATCGCCTATCGTTTAGTAATAGTTATATTCCATAGCAATATGGCGTATAGTTTTACCTCTAACGATACTTATGAATTTTTAGTAGATAATGATTCTGAGTATTCGTTAGCCTGTCCCCATATATTTCCAATACATCCAGACTTTTTGGCAGTTGAAGGGTTGGACATTGTCGATTTGGTCAATTTTCCGCCATTTGACACGAAGCGAGTTGAAACGCTTAATAACTTAAGTCTTAAACCTGAAGATGTAAATTTATGGTTATTACTTTCAAGGTAAATATATATATATAAGGAATTTTGTTTTAAAATGTTGTAATTATTACTTTATTTCCAGTCGCTTACCTCCGATAGACTACCATCAAGATGATATATCGTGCGACCCTGTTTTATCTATGTATAGGCAAGTAGTCTTCTAATACTGTCTATTTTTGTGTTTAACATAAATTTGGTTTGTTTCAGAAACGACGAGGTTATGCCTTATGAGCCTCACTTTAGAATTGACGAGTGGGTGTTTACAATTAACATATTTTCCTATTTAATAACGCTTATTATTCCCATAAACAGATATCCGGCACCAGACCCAGACCCAGATCCTGAACCTCTTTCACTCGTGGTAAAGTAGGTAGTTGAACATCTACTCAACACTGTAACATAAAGTTAATTTGTATCTACAGTAATAAAAAACGGAAGGCTAATTCTCCAACCGTCCGCTATAGGATCACTAAGTCCAGGGATGATGACTGTGAAGCAAAGGAAACGGCAACAGAGCAACATATATTAACCAGGGACGCTAATAATCTACTCAAACACGATTCAAGTTTGGAGAGCCAACCTCCGAAAGATCGACTAAGTTCTGTCACGTCAAGTGAACGTCAGCCTATAATAGGTGTAACTGTATTGAATAAGCAGGAAGCTGTCCAACAACCGGCGGCATATATGGACAGTATTGACGAGTCTGAAGTTGTTCAGTCATTGGTAGATGTAACTACTTCTGTCAATGAGTCCTCCTTGCAGCAACCAAATATAATTGCGACTATCGTCAATGAATCGTCATTGATTGAACCTACCTCATTATCAACAACAGTAAATGAACCTCCAATGATTCAACAACCAACCTTAAATTTAGCTACTGTGAGCGAATCTTCAACAATCCAGCCGAATAATGTTATTGTGGCTCATATTAACAAATCTCCAGTAGTTAAATCCAACGTAATACTAGCTACAGTACATAAAAATCAAAATATGCCGTATCTCCTAAATGTACCTGTAGTAAATGAACCTTTCACTCGTCAAGCTAATAGTTCAGCTATGACTCGAATGAATTGCGGTGCTACAATAGAACCGAGCATATTTATAAAAGAACCTTTAATTCTTCCGTCTAGTATGATTGTAAATGGAATTCCAACAATTCAGCCGGAAGTGAATACAGTTGATGAACCTTTACCAAATTTAGATGAGTCGAAGGAGGAGACTGGGGCTATGGTAAATAAAGTCAGCTTATCAACATCGAACGAATCTCCGTTGATCGAATCGCCTTCGGCTGATCCTAAATCAAGTGAAGGTTTAATGAACCAGACTAGAAGTGTTAAAGATAGTTTTGCAGTATATAATCAGTACGTATTAAATGTTTGTTTAGAATGATCATTAAATATCGTATTTATTTTTCTAGACAGTATACAACGATTAATGAACGTCCTGTTAAGATACAAAGGTATTTTCTTATTAGCTATAATATGTTTTATTTTTCCATACTATTTAATTTTTCTACTCAACTATAGGACTTTAGCCTATACTGCACAATATGTTGAAGTAATAACGGAGGAATTGACATCAGCAAAATCTGATTCCGAATTACAAATGTAAATTGAAATTTTTTTTTTTAACTTTATTTTAATTATAATAAAATTATTTTAAGAACGGAATTACCCAATGAGCCGAATACGGAACCTAATAATACATTTTCTGATTTAAATAACAACGATAAAGAGTCGCACAAGGAAAGCGATGAAAGTAAGGAATTCGCCAACCAGAGAGAATATACATATCCGTTACTTCATCATGAATATAACAGGTATTTTTGTAGCTTATACACTATATACAGTCACGATAATAAGTAATTATAACAAGGGATAAAAAGTTTATACATGTGAATTTTTTGACGACCAAAATATGTTTATGGTCTAGATTATTTCACAAGCTATTAAGTAATTTGAAGACAGTTGCTATGACCTTACAATTAAGAGTTATTATCTCCCAGATAACAAACAATAACAAGGGAAATAGAATTTTAGATTACAAAAAAATGAAGATTTAAACCAAACTGGACAGCACAAAAAATTTTACAAAACTGTACTGTGCCTATTCAGATATCATTGTCTAATGTCAAAAAGGTTTTATGCAAATACAAGTTGAAATGGAAGAGTTGAAAAATAGGCCCTTCTAAAATCCAACTCTAAAAAGGAAGCAAATTAACTAACTTTTACAGTTTTTCAACCGAGACTTCACGTACAGATTTAATATGATGATAAGGCAAATCAAAATTATATAACATCAAATAATCACCTTATAAAACCTTTTTTCCTTTTACTAATTACTTATTATTGTGACTTTAGTATATATTTTAATTAGTTGCTAAATTTTTTCTTTATATCTTAGTAAATCAGATCCTACCGGAGATATGCAATTTAACGTGGTTAGTAAAGTTATCAGTAAATTCTACTTACCCATAAAGTTTATAATATTCTCTTCGTTAACATAGGAAAACGTATATTCTCTTCCCTGGAAGCAAATTTCGAAATTAATTGATGAGGGAAAAAATGTTAATATTGTCTTCCGATTTAAGGTTAATATTACTTTAAGTAATTGGTAATCGAGTAAACGTTTTATATATTACAGAATAATGTAGGCTTTCGGAGGGCTAGAGTTATTCGAAGGAATATAGCAAAACCTTTGGGTTCTATATTATACATTCCAGCTCCGTCTGTTTCAAACAATCGCTATAAGCTCCCATCTAGACCGAACCTTATTGATAAAACGATAAATATGAAAAGGAATGGTCCATCCAATTCAATAAATAGCGGCTTTAATAACTTTTATAATTTGGCTGAGGGAGTAAATAATAACTCTAGTGGTACGTCAACGGAACCATCAATCAATGTATCTGTCAGAAGTGCTTCCGATACTCAACAGCCGAGTACCAGTAAACCTTTAAGCGAAAGAGAAAATACTATTCCTAGACCTGTACTTATTGATATTACAGAAGATACTCCTAAAAATTCTCCAAGCTGTAATTTCTGTCCTTATGAAGATTTGTCGTCAGATGATGACAACGAAATTGTAAAGGTTATAAAACTTTCGCAAGAAAACAGTCGTGTCAATCCCAGCGATCAAGTTCAAAGTCAATCGCCTTCGAATCACACTCAAGTATATAGTTCTAATCCCAGCAGTAACGCCTTGGAAAGTAGTGCATTAACTCATTCGTACAATTATACCAATAGCGTTTCGAATTCTTATGAAGAAGCTATTAACAATCAAGAGCGTCCACTAGATCTGTCGTTGAATCGTCGAACGGGAGAATCCGCAGTCGTTTCCGAAAACTCGAAGCAGACAACTCTAGAAAATAGAAGTTCTACATCTCAATCCACTTCAACCGAATTATCTAGGAACGCCAATAGTAATAAGTTAAATGAACTTTTGAACTCGAATTCTGTCCTAAATCAACCCGAGAAAGTGGCTAATATATTTAATCATTCCACTCAAAATATATCTGAATTGAATAATGATAATCAACTGCATAATCCTCGAATAATGGACGTGAGTTTTATTTCTCGAAGATTTCAAAGTGGCAATCTACCTGACTTTCCAGACACGCTTAGTAAGGATCATATGGCTCTTAACCGAACTCCATCTACTCCACAACGAACTTCATCTAGTCTACAAATTAATAACGAGCCAAAAAGCTTTATGGTCGTTCCTGATAATAACCAAGGTGGAAGTTGTAATCAAACTTTTATGGCAAATTTTGTTCCGCCTCATAGTCAAATACAAGGCTACGACTTGAATCAAAATGCATTGAACAATTATCACTCTTTGGGCTTATCTGGAAACTATTATCAATCAAATCAGAATAATACAACTCTTGAGTCGCGTCATTTAAGCATATCGGACGAAAATGGAAATGTTTCATACGGTCCATTTACAAACAACGCGTACGGACTATCTCAAAATAGTGTTGTAAACATTGCATATAATCCCGACAGAATTCCAGATTGCTCCCTTTGTGTAAGTTCGTTCAACGCCACAAATGATTGTCAAAATCCTCTGAGTTCTCTTCGAAATTCAGTTGCTGCTCCTATAAGCAACACGCAGTTTGCTTCATACGATGTCCAAAATGGTAACATAATCAATACTGGATTGGAACATGCTTCTGGATACGCTTCAAATATTGACAATCGGAATCAAGTTGGCCTAAACAACTTTGAAGACAATAAATCTTTTAGTTTCTTCAGTAAATCTCAAGACGACTCTCGTTCGAATATGTCACCAAGCGGTGACTCAGATGCTTCAACCGACAATAACGGCGAACAGAGCTTTTATTGCAATTTGAACTTTGATCCAAGCTATTTCCCTAGTAGTATCTTGAAAAACATTCCTGTTAGTATGTTGAATCGTTTAATGAGTAACTGTCCAATAACGACCGAAAATTCAGCTACAACTGATACACAAGTGACTTATTCCGCAGGACATAATAATTATCAGTGTAACACATCTGGCATCGAAGTAACATCACATAGTACTCAGGCAAATGTTCAACAAAATGTAGTAGCGACAGCGATTGCTACTGCAACTATTACTACTATCACTACTACTAGTACCACTGATAGCAGTTTTCAAAGTGATAATTTGCATTTTCTAACGATGGAAAGAAATTCAAAGGATACCAAGTCAACTACTCGGGGAAAATCGTCTATGAAAAATAACTCTGGGAATTCTCAAGTTTCAATTCTGGAATCGATCTTGAAAAATAGTCCGAAAGGTAATAGAAAATCATCCCTAAAGTACTCGCAACAGCGTACACCAATTCCACGAAGTGAAAAAATCGGACGGAAAAGCAGTACAAAAATTAACCCACGAAATCAAAATGGTTCTAAAAGAACTCGTGGCACCGCAACAAAGGCAACGCCCAAAAGATATTCCAAAAAACAGGCCAAAATTGCTTCAACTTGTGCTTCCTATCCTATTTTGACATCCACCGAGTCACTATTAGATATTGTTGATCGAAGAGCTTCCAACGCTACGACAAATACATCACCGCCGCCGTTTACTCAAAATTATAATCCAACAGCACCAGTACAGACAACGTTAAACAAAAATATACGAAATACTGCGAGTACCAGTCAAGTAGATTATCCTTATTATGGTAAATCAAATCTTTCATCGAACATTAATTCTAACTGGATTTACCAAACTGGTTCAACTCAAACTAGCAGTCAACAAATTCCTCCGTGTCATCCAACTAAACTTTATTCACAATATAATACTCCCAGTTTAACCTCAAACATTGATACCGGCTACGTCCAACAATATCCTGTAAAATATTTAATGAACGACCAGAACAAAGTTGCAGTGACAAGTTCCAACGCAGTTTCGTATACCTCTACTATTTCATCTGTTGGGTCGACTTTCATTGAAAGTACTTTAGATTCTACTATGCAGCCGGACTATCCTCAACAAGCCCCGAAACCTACATCAAGTACTTGTTCACGCTCGGTTGAACAACCTGCTTCCATTCCACCTTTAAAATGGATTTTAAAAGGAACTAGTTGGGAAAGAGTTTCAACTACCGATAATTCACAATCTACTTATGATACTGGTGCAGCCGATAGATCTGAGTCTGTCAAGGCAAAGATTTCTGTTCCACCTCTGGAATCAACGTTATGCAAGGATAGCCAAAAATGTTATTCGAATTTAAATTTAACTCAACATATAAAGGGCTGTATCTCAAGTTCCACCAGTCAAAAGCCTGATAGTTCACCGCTAGACTCGTCAATAAGTGAAACTATTCAACAGAGTCAACCGAATTCCAGCTTTCCGCAAACTAATGAGAATTTCTCCTCGAATATTAACTCCAGCCCAATTATAGAAAACGTTGTTACAAAAAAAAGCTCTTCAAATCCCACTTGTACAAAACCTAAAAAGAGTTCAATCTCGAGTATTTGCTCCATTAAACCAGTTACACGTACACCATCAGTTAAATCGATTGCTAGTGATTATGTTCAGGAAAATGCTCCAGGCTTACAACGAAGTGAGAAGGAACCTATCCCAAAAAACAATTCCAACAGCAATCCCCAAAGCACTACTGCTCAATCATTGAAGATGGTTATTTGTAAAAGGAATGGAAAGACCTATTCAAATCCTGGTCAATTAAAATCAAATACTTCAACTTCAAACATCGAACGCGTTACTGTTGCTAAAAATACAGCCAATCCACCTGTGAAGCCTGTTTCAAGAAGAAAAGGTCGAAAAAGTTCTCGTTATCAATCAGAAGAGCCTGAGGGGAATACTGCTTCGAATGCTAAACCAAATGTTGTTGATCCAAAAACTACTGTTGTTCCTCCGTTAAAACTTTTTATATGTAAAAAGGATGGAAAAAGTTATTTAAATTCCGCTACTTTACTATCTAAGAACAACCTTTCTTCGAGAGTCGACTCTGCTACCGTTGCGAGTTCTAATACTTCATTAATGAAATCAAACGCAAGTAAACAGACTCGAAAAAGCACTTTCGAATCAGTTGAATCAAATACTATTGACGAAATAGTGAATAACTCGAAGGTACGTAGAAAAGTACGAAAGAATTCTTTAGATCCTGCTCATAAAACAAAATATTTGCCGAATACACAGATTCCAGATACAAGTGCTAGCTCAAGCTCTTGTGGCCGAGATATCACCGTTCCGCCAGTGGAATCGTTGTTTCTTGATAAAGAAAAAACACTTTCACAGTCCAAGTCTCTCCCTCAGACTGATACTAAGCAACTTGAGGATACTGCATCGAATAGTGATAACGACTCGAGTGATAGGGATTCTACTACTTCGCTGTTTGAGTCACTTTCAAAGAAATATAGGAATGAAGATTTTTCAGGTGTTCCTTTGAAGATGAACTATCAATATTATCTAGAGCTTCCATCTGATTCGGAGTATTATCAAGATAAAAATACTCGTGAAAAAAAAACTGTTGAAGATGACTCCTCTTCCTTGGCAGACGAGTATACTTTTCATAATAACACATGGCAACCTTCGTATACTGCCTTTCGGCCAGCTGAATATCCTGTTAGTGAGAATAATTGGCCAGGGCCTTATTCGGCGAAAAACTATTTACAAAATGCAACAAGCCAAAATCTTACGTCAACTGCTAGCTACAGCTCTGTTCAGAAGCCAATAGTTTCTACTTTACCTGCAGTCGAATATAACACCTGTCTACAAAATTCTTCTTATATATCTTATCCTCAATACGCTACAGAGAGTCAAACGTCTACTACTAGCTCAAACCCTACAAAGCAATGTACTGCCAATTCACCTGCAGTTTCTTTGTCGAATACAAATATTCAGCAAAACAATTCTTCAGATGCTCCACTCAGAGTAGCATATCCCGAGTATACTAAGGAGAGCAGCAGTTTCGAATTTGCTCAACTAAACACTCCTGCTTCGCTTGCAGTATCATCGTCGAATTCCTCCAATCAACAAAATTGTCCTGCAGATGATCCTCCTACGGCAATGTATCCTCATTGTGCTCATGAGAGTTGTACCTTTTGTAGTAGTTTTAATTCTGTTCAATTAATCACTCCTGCTTTGCTTTCAGAAGCGTTACCGATTACAACTAGTCAACAAAAAAGCTCACAAGATGCCCAATTCGAGGCGACGTATCCGATATATTATACTCTTTCGGCAAGCGCAAGCTCTAACGTCTCTACATCATCTTCAGTATCATCTCCGTATAGAGATCATGGTTCGGCAGATGTTCCATATCAGATAACTTATCCCCAATATACTACCCACATCCAATATACTGGTCAAAATGATATTACGAGTGCTAACACCAGGTCTGTTGAACAAAGTGCTCTTTCTTTGGCGGCTCCAGAATGTTATTCAGATGGGAATAATTGGCAAAGTTTATCGCCCGATTCAACTGTAGCAACTTATCCGCAAAATACTAAACAAAGTCGAAATGTAAGTAGACATTTCACTTCAATAAACTATATAGTATACTGTATATAAAAATTCTTCCATCCAGGATAGCGGTGGCGGTAGAAATTGTAATTCAAGCGTGACTGAAAGTCGTACAAAACAAAACATTGGAATTCCACCTGTGGAAACTATCCTGAACAAGGATCAATATAAATTATATTCTAATATGGAAGCGACAGCAGATTATAGACGACCAATACCACCTGTGGAGTCTATTCTAAGTAGTCGATGGAAATTTTCAAACCCAACAACCAAAACGTGTATTTCAAGTGTCACATCAAATTGCGCTGAAAGAACGACTACGACTCTTTCGACTGCTGGCAGGGACTTGAAAAATGCGACAAAAAACATCGAGCATTCTTCTACAGGAAAAGACAACATGAAAAAACCATTTCAGAATACGCAGAGCACTAGTTCAAATCTGGCTGTATCTACGAATACGAATAGGATACAGGTAAGTACTTCAATATCTTCTCATAATGACAACGTTCAAAGTGGAACTGCAACTCATAACGCTGACGAATCCCAAGCTACAGAGGATACGAATGAATGAAGCAGATTCATAAACCAAGTGAGAATATTGAAATAATATATGATGACATAATTCTAGAGTTTATTCTGTATTATTTATTTAATTTTATATCTACATGTATAGATATTATTTATGACCTACTTGATTTTGTCATATTTATAAAGTGCTAACTTGTCGTCAGGTTAAATATTATTTGGTCTCAACTCTGAAAACACTTTAGTTTTTGAGTATATATTTTTTTATATGTTATAAAATTATTGTTTGCGACTTCAATGTCTATTATTATTATTATTATTATTAGTATTTGGTTATAATGCTTTTTTCTGATATATTTTGAAACGATGGAACGATTACAGATTCATTCTGATTGCGTTAATCGACTTTATTATTCGCAAAGTAATGTATGAATCCCAGATGGTCTAGGGGTTAGGATTCCCGGCTTTCACCCGGGCGGCCCGGGTTCGATTCCCGGTCTGGGAGATTATTTTTTTTCATCTTAATTTTATAGAAAAAGAGCAAATATGAACTCGATATGCTTCATACTGTATTTCATAGGAACTAGATGGATTGGGACTAAGCAAAAGAATACGTTCTAATCTTTTTCTATTTTTCAGATAACAAATGTAATACATAACACGGTGAAAAGGTCATTGTTAACTTTCATATGCACAAATATGCATGTATGTATGTATTCATTAAACAACTCTTCTCTTTCTCGGAAAAATGCATACACTATTGTAATCTATATCAAGCGTTCTTAAACTCTTTCTTCAAATCAATTTATCAATATTTTTTGGTATAGGCGTTAATCATCTATCGTTAATCTTGATAATCGTTGTTCTATAAGAACAAGTTAATTATTCATATTCATCTTCGTTGGAAAATTGCCCAAATTGTTCAATCTGATGAATGCAAACCTTAATGAGGAAAATTTTGTTTTTTCCAAACAATTGTCCCACTTTATCTATTAAAAATTCTGGATTATCCATAATGCTTATAAAAATCCCAGTTCTTTAGTTATATTTATGTAAAAAAAGAAACTATCCAAGTAATTTGTCACTTATTGTTTGTCTCTATAAATTACTTTATTATTAATAGTAACTACGCAAATAAATATCTATACAATAAAGAACGCTAGTTGAAAAGTTCTTGTTTATTAATAAAATCGTACTGTGTTTGTTTGTCAAACTTTACAACGCTAATTGAATACAATGTTCTAGTTTAGTTAACAATATAAACATATAAGTATTTCACTGTTATTTAAAATATTCTATCTATAGATAACATCTTCAAGATTAGCCTATTCTTCTCCGAAGTACCATCTCTAAATTCGATCAACTATAATTCAAAGAGATTATCGTAATTACTTACTGAAAACGTATTAAGAATGCAAAAAATCTTAATGAACAAAAACAAAGATCCTTGGGGAAAAAATCACATTATTCTTTTCATCCTTTATTCAAATAATGAAGGAAATTTAAGAAAATTCTAAAAACCTTTAAAAAGTAACAAAAACATAATATTTCATTTGTTTCTTGTTTAGTTGTTTATAAAAATGTGAAAACTTACCAAAAGTATCATCGACATAGGTAAATAAAAGTAGAGAAGGCTATATAAGCACAAATTGACAAACATTTCATTATCGCTGAAATAAAAGAGTGATAAAAAGATAAAACAAAAACAAGAATAAATGTTTATATACTACTTTTTATAATTATGATGACAAACTTGATACAAGTTTAATTTGTTTGCCATTGAATGATATTTGAGAAATATGAAAATGATTGAGTAGCCAATAACATTAAAGGAAAATAAATATAAATGGTGAACAAATGAAGAAAGTTCGAAATTGTTGTATCCACACCAAACAACTACCGAAATTAATGTCGAAATAAGATTTAATGCGTAGAATAAATATCCAAGGCCTATATATTTCCTAAAAATGGATTCAAATTAGTAAATTAATAAAAGCATATTTAATAAAAACAAACCAAGGTTTATAGGTCAGGCAGGTATCGTTTAAAAGTAAACCATTTAAGCTTCTTTGAGGTATTTCTATATAGTGTTCTGTTTTATTTATAACTTCACGCAAATAATACTTATGGAATTTCATGATAAACAGATCTATAGCAAATATTGATCCTAGTGATAAAAAAGTAAAAGCTACTGCTGCTTTTGCCAAAAAATTAAAAACAAAAGTATTTCCATTGCTATGTATCATATTTCAGTAGCAAGAGAGATTGAGAGAGTAAATGAAAGAGAGAGAGAGAGAGAGAGAGAAATCATTAATGAGAAAGTACCGGATATGAGCCATATTTGAATACATACTGTATATGTTAGCCTCATTGGGTGAGACTACCTAGGCCGCCTAACTTGGTCATTTTTTTTTTGTTCACTTCTTTTAAAATAATAATCAAAACATATTGAGGATCAGCCAGAGATCTATCATAAGACATTATCTCCGATTGTATCTCTATATTTTTCCTCGGCGACTTTTTCTATCCATTACTCCGTAGCTTTGAAAAGTTGTCATCTGCAAACATTAACATGATAAAGCATTTTATTACAATCTTCTAGTCTTTTTATTTTTTGTTGTTTAGAGCCAAATTTATCTCTCTAACAGTATCAATATATAGTTTAGACTTCTTTCCTAGAATTTATCAATCAATTCTATTCTCTAAAAAATAAAAATTCTATAAATAATCATTCAACTGCCTCTCTAATTATAAATAGAATGATATAATATTAGAAATATATTAATTTAAGTATCTAAATAAAAGACTAACCCTTCATTGTTAAAGTCTGTAGTATAATTATCATTTTACACTACATTTGACGGAAATTTTCAATGATTAAACTGTTAACTCGTTCCATTTTCCTTATAATCATAAATCTAGTTTAGAATTTAAAGTATTCTGCTGGTAATTAACCTTTTCATTCTATAAATTGTTCTTTTTTTTTGTTCCAAAGAAAAATCGAACGAAATCGAACGAAATCGAACAAAAATGATATATTCCTTAAATAATGCAGATTGATTATATGTAGATAATAAACTTTATTCAAAATTAATATTTGTTTATTATCCTCTTTATATTAGATTTAATAGAATAAAACTTATCGCTTATATTATCACTCATTTGCGGAAATTTTTATCAGATTATACGAATTTAAGCTTAAAGCTCTTTCTTTTCAACTATTAGCATTGTTTCTTATTTTATTGGATAAATTCAGGAGTAGGAAGGATAAACTTGTTAACAGTTGATTTTGGTGATAGAAACATTTTTATCTCAATGTTTACAATCCAATTTAACTGTGGGATAATTTTCATATTGTACCAGTTTTTTTTAAAATTAATTTTCATTATATTATTATATCCTTAAAGAAAGATTATTTTCACTTAAGAAAAATTTTAATAGTTCCATAATCATTCATGAAAATTTCGTTACTTACGAAAATGATTTTAACCGGTAAATTAACGGAAAAATTCTAGACATATATATATATATATATATATATATTTAAATAATCGGACCAATCACTTTTGATTTCAAATTCATATCATCAACGATACCCGCATTACTACTATGTCAAACAACAACGAGAAGGTCTTAAAGTTTGGTAAGTACCAAGTTATCTTTGAAAATAAAACATTTTTAATTTGTTTTGAAATCTTTTAGATCCAACCGATGAACAGTTAGATAAATTTCTTGCGGAACTCGACAAAAACTTTATGCAAACCATAGAACTGTAAGGAAATATTTAATAATAAACTATTAAAATCTAATAATATCTTTATAGAATTCGGCAAAAACGGCAAGAAATAGCACAACTGTACATCGAAATGGATCATATGGAAACAACACTGAGAGATTTGGATCAAAAAGTACATGGTACAGTGTGTAATGGACAGGAGAGATCTCTTTAAAGAAAAATATCTTTTGTTATTCTTTTCTGTTCCCTTAACACTGATTTAAGAAATACAAAAGTTTTATTGAAAAATAACCTTTCTGTTGTACAAATTATTTCTTCTTGATTTTCTTTTACTTATACAGAATAGCTTATCTTTAGAAGAGAAATAGTTGAACAACTTTAATAAAGTAGATAATATCTATATGAAACTTTTGTATTCAAAACTTTTCGCACTATTTAAACAAACCATTATTTTATTATAAAGGTTACTATATTTACCGATTTTATCGTTTTCTTTAAGGTTGATTAGTGTTATCTTCGTCCGACAAGTCTACTCCTTTGTTAAGATCATTTAGTTTCACTTCGTCTACACCTGTGTCCATTTCATCATCTGAATCGTCGTTTGACGAATAAAAAAAACTAAATCTAGACATACGGTTCAACGGAGGATTTAGTTCTTCATCTGATGATTCGGCATATTCAAGAGTTTCTCCAATTCCACTATATTCTACGGTTCCATCACTCTCATTATATACAAAAATCTGATTTGAATCTATTCCATTAAACGATTCTGCTTCCATTAATGAAGTATTTGCTTCATTTTCTCTCGATATATCCTCCACCTCTTCATCGCTTGATATTACAATGCAATCTTCTTCTAATCCCTCTTCTTCCAATTCCTCTTCTTTACATACGACATTGCCCATCTCATCTTCACTGGACACTTCTATAATTTCAATTTGGAAGTCAACATTCGTTAGAACTTTAGGGCTGTTGCCATATCTATGTTTAGTATTGAATGATGACATTTTTTTCGATGTTCACGCGTCTTTTTCAGTCGATGTTCCACTAAAAAGTGTCTGACAAGTATTTTTATTGAGTGATTTCAACTTTTATAGATACAGGAGTGAGTAGAAGTTACGGCTAAGTTGAACTAGTAAAAGGAAAATATCTGGATTTCAAGAATAGGCCTATTGCTATAATAAATATAGACTACATCGTCTAATAGACGCCAATTTAAAAAGCCTGGAAACAAATAATAAATGGATTTTAGCATGACATTCGTTTGTTCTAAACTTTTAAGCATCTTTGTTCCATTTTTGTCCTTGAGCGAAAATACAGTTGTTTGCGAAAAATTTAAAAGTATGAATGTTTGAGTTAGGAAAATTAGACAAGAAGTTGCTTCTTGTAATTGTTTAAATAACTTATCAAGTTAATAGTATTTTCACGTTATTTTTAAATATATTGTTACATATATCGGCGATAATAGGCGATATTGAGAGAATGTCATGAGGTCAAGGTGATAAGTTAGTGTGAAGAACGGTAGATGGCACCAGAATAGTAAACTAGGAAAAGTAAGAATATTTGCTTTATTATCAAGTAAATCATCGAAAAATCCCTCAAGTTGACTCTAATATGATTGAAAGTATCTATTAAAACAGCAAATACCTTTGATTTAAACATAGGAACAAAAAACGCAAATATAGATTTGAATTTCCCGCTTTTAAATCGTTGACAGAGCTCAACGCTGCATTACATGTTCACTTTAACAAAATTCGGAGTGTTGTCAACATAAAGACAATTTAAAAAGAAGAAAAGATAGTGGTACGTATTTGATGATATATTAATTTAATGTTATTTCAACTATATGTAAAAAATTTCCATAGAATTGAAAGAAAGACGAAAAATGAATAATCAACAAGGTAAGAACAATCATTCAACCACTAAATATGACGACGGAAATATGCCAAAGAATCCAAAAGTTTATAAGAGAAAGAATATGGAGTGCTTTCATATTTCCGCCTTTAAATATGACACTTTTTTTTATATTAATATTCGTCTTTTCTTTACATCAACTGAAGCACCTGAAATGAATAACAAAGATATGAATATTGATATGGATAGTAGTATGGCTGAAAATTTTCCGTTTGGTTATGATATTGATACTATCGTTGGTACTAGTACAGACAACGGCATTCATAATTATAGCGACATGGTCAATAGCGTTTCTACTACTATTAGTAATGTTTATGGCCCTGTTCCTACATTTTGTTTTCAAACTAGCGATGATTCTAATTCGAACGTCTCCAACGCTGTTGAAACTGTATCTTCTATTTCTGATTCTAATACTAGTATGAATATTACCGTAGGTAATGGGGTTTATGCACCAGTTGGAATTGATTCTGAAACTGATCATAATGCTACTTCTACAAGTACTGACGCTGTTAACGCTACCTACAGCTATTATTCTCATCCCGATTTAGGAGCTCATGCTGATATTAATAGTGCTTTAAGTACTAATAATGATATCAACAATACGAATAATAATATTACTGTGAGCAATAATTCGATATTTTGTCCTGGTTCTGGCGTTGATACTGTTGGTGCTTCTATTCCTGGCTATTACGCTCATTCTACTGTTGGTTATACTTATGGCGTTACTACTAATAGTATAAGACATACTGGTTCTAATCATTCTATTCCTAATTATTACTTTCGTCCCAATCTTGGTTCTCCCATTGCCGAAAATGTTGATATTAATGCTGCACTTGATTCACTTTCGAATACTCCATCTGGCAATAGAATAACAACTAGTTCTGTTTATGGATATTACCTCCCGCCCAATGTTCGTTCTACTTCTGCCGTTAATATTGGTAGTGTTAATGCTGCTCTTGGTACAAATGTTATTATTTCTAGTAGAGCGTTTACTAGCTCTACTCCTAATTTTTCTCTCTACCCCAATATTGATTCCGCCTCTACCGTAAATACTGGTATCAATGCTGCTCTTGGTACGAATGCTACGGCTGGTAATAGAATCGCTCATAGCTCTGTTCCTGGCTTTGGTTTTCGTCCAAACGTTTGTTTTGCTTCTCGTGTTAATTTTGGTAATACTACTGTTTCTGGTGCTGGTTCGAGTATGGCTACTAGTTATAGAGGTGCTGCTAGCTCTGTTTCAGCTTTTGGTCTCCGTTCCAATGTTGGTTCTTCCTCCACCATGAGTGCCAATATTAACGCTGCTCTTGGTACTTTTCCTAATTACACTTCTCACTCTAGTGGATCTGAAATAAGCGCTGGTCTTAATGCTGCTCTTGGTACTATTCCTAACTACACTTTTCGCTCCAGTGGAGCTGGAACTAATGATGGTACTGTTGCTGCTCCTCGCACAGCTCCTGGTTTTATCCCTCATTTCAATGAATCTGGTATTAATGCTGCTCTCGGAAATTGCACCAGCGTTGCTTCTACCAGCATCAGTACTTTTGATAGTAGTGTACCTGCTTTTTCTTCTGACCCTATTGTTATTCCTCGTTCCAATGAATCTGGAGTTAACGCTGGTGTTAATGCTGCTCCTGGCAATTGTAAAAGAGTTGCTTCTATGAGCATCAGCACTTCTGATGGTTATATACCTGTGTTTTCTTCTGGCCCTACTGTTATTCCTCGTTCCTATGAATCTGGAGTTAATGCTACTCTTGACACTTGCACCAGCATTGTTTCTACAAGTATCAGTGCTACTGATGGGTCTGAGCCTGTGTTTTCTTCTCGCCCCAGTGCTAGTCCTTGTTTTGGTTCTAACGCTGATGTTACTTCTCCTGCTTCTACTAACAGTGATCTTACTATCAGTGATATATATAACATTATAGAATCTCTTTCTGAACTCCGTTCTGAACCCAATGCTAGTACCGATCCAAGCGTTAATGCTGGCACTGATTTACCTATTGACATAGCTGCTGATTTCGATATCAATAATATTACAGGTTCCATTCCTGAATTTTGTCCTCCTACCAGTGACAGTTCTTGTCCTGGCGTTAATACTGTTGTTGATTCTTCTGCTGATACTACCAATGATTCAAATAGTATCAGTGATATTATTGATTCTATTTCTGATTTTTGTCCTAATCCCACTGTTAGTACTGTTTCTGTTGCTGATATATGTGGAACTAGCACGTTCACGACTACTAATAATACTGTTAATACTGTTACAAATGTTACTCAATCTTTGTCTTCACCCAGTACTACCTCTATTGTGGATCTTACTACCTCAGAGGTGGGTTCGCCGGTTGTTACTAAATTTGATGCCGAAGTTGATTTGGACTGTGATCCTTGTTCCGATACTGAAAATGCTACTGAAACTGATGCTATTGCTAATTTAAATGCTAGCGATATTTTAGAAGAATTGGAAAACTTTCTTGCAGCGAGTCATTGCACTTTTTCAAATTATCTAGTGACCAAACAAGAGTGTTACATTAGCAACATTACTACTAAAACTATTATACAAAGCAATTCCGTCGCAACTGTTGATTCTGATAGAGGCAATAGAGAAGAGGATGAAAATGAGATTATGAATCTGATGGGCAACAATGATGACTACGACGACGACAATGGCAATACCAGCAACAACGACACTAGCAACAACAACGGCGACGAACAAGCACGAGTACAAAATGATGTCATACAATCGACCGGGGGAAACGACACAAACGCAATCATTCAGAGGCTTAATGCCATTGAAAAAAGGTTTATTGAAAGCGAGCAGAGAAATGTGAGTGGACGATTGGAGTATAAAAAAGGCTAAAGACTCATTAAGATGACTTAGGCTATTTAATATCTAAAAAATTTTACAACATAAACTAACATAATTCAAAATCCATAGTTTACTCCAATCGACCACTCGACGAATGGCGGAGGATCTTTATATAAATTTCAACAAAATTTAACCAAGTTGGTTGATATTCAAAAACAAGCTTTGGAGGAAAATCGCTCTTCATTACTTAAGATAAATACTAGTCAAAGAGTTCTATTTGAAACTTTAAATCAGCAAGGTTCTGTTTTGCAAACACTAGCGAAAAAAAGCGATCGAGATGATGAGTTTTTTACTAAGCTGTATCAACAACTCGATAAATTGTTTTCGGTGAAGAAGAGGCAGATGCAAGACGACGAAAATAATTTGGGAAGTACCCAAGAAAAGAGGAGAAAAATCGAATACACACGCGCAAATTCGAATGATACAGGTAACGTAGGTCATGAACATTCCGCCGACGAATCCAACAGTCTAATGGCAAGCTCGCAAAGCGACGACTCTGATGACGATTACTATTTCGAAACGAGCCGCTTTCGCAACGCGACGAAACAGAATCCAACTATATTGAGACCTGATTCGGAGAAGGAGCAGATGTCCGAGGAGCAGTTTAAAAGGTTTACATCTCATAGATATTACAGATATAGCGGAGAAGTTGATAAATTCCCAAAGTTTCTACGTCGTCATTATAAAATTGTTAATCGTTTCGCTCTGACCGAAAATATTAAGTATCAATTGCTTACATCGCAAATTAGTAGGAATGTTGCGCATTGTTTAGGTTTATTGAACAATAGCGTCGTTTACTCGTATGTTGAATTAATGGACAAACTAATTAAGGAATACGGAACAAACACAACTATTGAGAGTAGATGTTTAGCTAAACTATCGTCCTTGAGGCGAATAGTAAATAGCGATCCGACTACCTTTGCCGAATTATACGACGCTCAGAATTACGTTCGAAAATTGTACACGGAAAATATGAATAAAGCAGAATCTCATTTGAAAATTTATATGGAATATATTGTTGATAATAAATTAGCTCCGGATGTGAAACAGTTGTGGAATAGTGCATTGAAAAAACGCCTGTTTGATGGAAAACTTTCGACTTTTACAACTCTTTTCAAGTTTGTTGGGAGAAGATATAGATATCTAACCGAAAATTCTTGAAAAGTAGTCATTGTTTGTTTGTTTAAAGTGATTTTTATTGTTATTTTGTTATTTTTTTTCTCTTGTTAACATTTATTTGGCGGTTCTTGTTTTAGCTTTCTGTATATATACTGTATATATTGGGTATAAGGCGCTTGTTGGCTTATTTGTCTGTAATGAATGCTAACAGCTTTTTGGATCCTTTCTTTCTTGTTTCATTCTCTCCTCTTTGCTCTTTTATTGCATAATATTTTTTTTTTCAGTCAATAGTCGGGGATTTTTAATGTAATTTTATCGGTAAGAAAAATAGTTTGACGTAAAAAGGATTGGGGGATTATCGTCATTATTTCGATTTAGAAAAAGTATTGTGCAAAAAAAAAGGAAAAAGAGAAAGGGAATAACTCGCACAGCCGCCATGATCATTGTTTGATTTGAAGGAGGAGAATGTAAAAAAAAAAATGGAAATATAACGGCTTATTTTCACTTGTTTCCTCCTTCAAATTTAAGTTTAATGTAAAAATAGAAAAGTTTTGAAATTGTTTTGAAGAAGCAAAGAAATGAACAAGATTGTATAGTCAATTTTTTCAATTTGTTGATAGACTTATTTATCCAGTAATAGTATAAATTAAAAATTGTTTTGTTTGTTTATATTTGTTTTATATCTATATTATCGTTCTAACCAATCAGCATTGGTAAATAATTTTATCCGCCCTTTTGATGCTTATCTTTTGAAAAATGTCGATTACGCATGCGTGTTTTTGTCCCAAATCAACCAAAGTATGTCAAAGCGTATTGGTTTCTCGTGTCAAGCTTTAAACTGCGATAGTGTGTCGGGTTTGAAGAACCCAAAGAATTTTTTCAGATTTCCAAGGGATCCTGAAATGTAAGTTTTAATCATTAACGACCCTTAATCTATCAATAAAACGTGCTTTTTAACCTCTTTACATTCAGGTGCAAGAAATGGGTTTCGCAACTGCAAAACGCTAATTTAAGTCGACAATTTGTTAACAACCCGATGATTGTTAGGAAGAAACGAGTTTGTTGCGACCACTTTGAGGATAATGACTACACTAATAGGGAAGAGAAGCGTAGACTCTTGCCTACGGCTGTACCTAAAGTATCTAATGATGTCGGTCCAAAGTATGACGCAAGGTCTGTAGAGCTGGTACCGAATAAAGTCTCGCTGCCGGAGCTGTTGCTAAATTCTACCTTTCTTGATTTGAAGGCGATATTCGGCGATAACGAGGTGGATCTGGAAAATCTTATGGAAAATTACGAGCCCTTTTAGCTTTTCCCATTGTTACTTATTACAGATTAAAGCTATATGATAACTTGATCTATTATTGATTTTGAAAAATGTTTACTTTGCTATATAAATTAAAAATACACTAAGTTGTAAGTAATGTTTGTTTGTTTATTTGTAATTGTTTAATTAATCGCTAGGATTATACTTTTCATATAAATCATAATGATGATGAAGATGATGATCATGATCATCTTCCATACAATGTATCGTCTCTTCTCTTTGGTCAAATTGATTGATAACGAATAAGCAATTATTAAATCTTTCTTTCTATATTTATTTTTTTATTCATTTTCCAACGCCATCTGTAATTTTGATTCACTTGACTATATATACATATATATGAATATGATTATAGATGGCGTTATCAATATATTAAAGAAGATCATTTTTGAAGTTAACGGTATTGAGTACGTAGAGAAACTTTACTAAAACTGATTGGAAATGGAGGAAAGAAAATGTTCAAGAACCCAAGTGTTTATGAATAAAAATAATCATGTAAGTATTTATATTCTGCATATAATTCGAAATAGATATAGAGAATAATTGAAAATAATTGAGGAAAATTGAAAATTTTGACCAGACATAAAAAAAAAAACCGTTAACGTGTACCGTAATTAATCAGCCATTTTTTTTTTCAAAATTTACCAGTTTGAATGTAGATTATGCGGCTTAACTTATAAGCAAAAGATTAGCTTTCGTGGCCATTTACGACTTGGATGTGATGTGGAGTCGAAAGTAAGAAGGAAAAAGTTATTTATGTGAAAAATTTAATATTTTTTTTTTTTTTTACTTATTCCAAATCTAGGGCAAGGGCACTGAGGATGAAGAGGCTAGTATATATTATTTATATATCTACATAAATATTATATTATAATATATTACAGATAGAAGGATACGAGTGTTTATACTGCAAAAGAACGTTCTATAAGAAATCACTTTTGAACGATCACGAAGTGTGTCATCAAAACAGTGACGCCGAAAGTGACGAAGAAGGTAGATATAAAAGAAAATATTTTTGGAGAGAGAATGAATATGAAAATGTTTTTTCCTTTTTCTACAGAAATTTTAAGCAATTCTGGAGAAGGCGTTACATCTTGTGTACCATTTTTTAAAACTATCGACTATACCATCTCAGCGACGCTGAAGAATTTAAAATATCCTGGTTATGAATTCGCTAAAGCTGATAAATATGTTTATATGCTTAAACGAGTGAATGAAGTTAAAGATTTGGAACTGAGCATCTATAGGCTAAATTGTAAAAATGTTATCAGATTATTGGATTGTTAGTATTTGACATTTTGTTTGTTTGTTTGTTTGTTTGTTTGTTTGTTTCATCTTTTTTTTTTCAACAGACTTTTTCAATGTTAAGGAATGTCTAATTTTCGAAAAATGGGAATCGTGCTTGCACGATGTTTTGAAGAAGGAAATATTCAATCAAACTTCCAGCTGTTATTATATAAGTCAGGTTATTGAGGGTGTAAAATTTCTTCATGCGCAAAATATTGGACATGGCAATATTAAGCCTCAAAGGTAACGCTGGCTTATTATAAAATATTTTAATGGATTCATTTTTCTTTGTTTTGTTTTTTTTTTTTTAGTATCGTTTCGGTTAATGGACGGTTGAAATTAATTAATTTTCAATACGCTTTTGTTGGTGAGAGCGAATACTGTTATGGAGCTTATGCGTTTCAACCTCCCGAGGTTATATTTGACAGTCGTCCCGTGACACTTAAAGCCGATATTTGGTCCATAGGAGTTGTACTCTTTTTGATGATTTATCGGTGTAATCCATTCAATACATCAACTAAACAGGAATTGAAAGCTAGTATTGAAAGTGCACAAGCCGATGCATCTTTAACTTTGAGACCAGAGATTGGCGTTTTTTTCCAATCGACTTTGAATTTTTCGAAACGAAGAAGAAGATTCACGCGTCTTCAAACATTTCAATCAAATGTGATTTGAGGGCTTTTGCTGCACAATTTCTACCGGAAAGATTATTATTTTCAATACTTTGTTTTGATAACGGTTAACAAGTGGTTAATTGTTATTATTTGTATTTTCGTTTTTTGCAGTGTTATCCACAATTTATTATCATTACTGGCTAAAGAGGTGAAGGGGAACTTACTATTATATATATATATATATATATATTATCATTCATTTGATTTACTTGTTTACGTTGGAGGGAAGGTAATTAACAAAAAGATTAAGAGTAAGATAGTTATTATATGTTTTATATGGCTTCTGCTAGATGTTTAAGAAGAAGTTTGTCCACTAACTCTGTTAACATTTATACTAATAATTTGTTTGTCTATTAAAAGTTTTTCCGGTAAGATTACAGATAATTATTGTCAGCTTGAATTATTATTATCATTCTTTTTCTATTTGAGAAAGAAATTAATATCTTTAACTTTTAACATAATCATGTTTTTCTTATCTTTCAATAGATAAGAAACATTTCTTTCTTTCAAATTGTAATGATGAGATTATTGTTGAATAAAGTTAAAGTTATTAATTTACTTTACACTGAAAGGAGCTCGTTCGCTCCCATGAAGCTCCTACTCTTTTTCATCAATCATAATTGCAAACTTTTACGTAAATAGTCATCTGATAAGAATCCTTTGTTAAGTTAACCAGTCAGTGTACTATACTGTAGAAGGGAGACAGACGCATCGAATAGCCTCTATTAAAGTGATTCCATTCCTTCTTTCCTTCCTTTGAACGAAAATCTCCTTAATAGCAATATATACTGTTTAAATATATCTTAATTTTATTGAATAAAAGAAGAAAATCAACATTTGTTTCCTACACCATCTCTAGAAGATGTAACGGTTAAGAATAATCTTGATCACGTGACAATCAGATATAATTATATATATATATATATATACAGTATATATAGGTATATATTCATTGTGATTGATTGATTGATAAATTAACTAAGATAGTTTAGGAATTGTTGAGATAACTTTAATTAAGATAATTAAGGTTAAAATTTTTCCATAGTTCGTACTGCGCATGTCCAAAAGGTAAACGATTCAAAAATATGTACACAAATGGTAATATTATTGGAATTCTTCTTTAACAGATAAGAAAAAAGGACGAAAAAGGAAAGAGATAATGTCTTCATTCTCTGTTTTATACTATAGAGACGAATTTATACAATTATTCCGTCGAAACAAAGAATTATACTCAAGTTTCTTGCTGTTTTGGTTCTCAAAATGGAGTCGTATCTGTAGATATTCATAAAAGTAATACTGACCGAAATTCAATGATAGCAGAAAATCTTGATAAAGTTCTCTTTAAACTTCCAACGAAAAAACGTCTAATTTCACTACTTCAGCAAATAAACTGCAAGGAATCAATGTATTTATTGCAGAGAATCGAAAGCTTTCCACAAGAATTCCTAGAAGGCAAATCCAAGAGAAATGTGTCAATAAACTATTCCATATGGCTACTATGTTGCGATAGGATGATGACATCGATAAAAAAGATGGAGTAGAAGATAATTATGTCCCCCTTGGCATTGCTAGAAAATCCTATATAGACTTTAATATACTTGAAGAAGAGTATGATCAAGCTAACGAATTTCTAAAAGTGATTGATAAGGGAAATAGACATATTTTGATATCTGGACAAGCGGGAATCGGTAAAACATTACAACTTTTCATTGGTCAATTAAAAAGGATATTGATAAACGAATTTGTTAGTGGCTATATCTCTAAATATAGAGAACAGAATGATTTTCAAAGTCTATATACAATCTTTGAAAAATCAATTAAAGTTATTTATACTAGGAGAACAATGAAATAGAATTGGGGGTTAGGATACTTGAAAAGATGGCGTATGAGAAAAACGATAGATAAAATAGAAAGAATTGAGATGACAAAGATTTTTGAAGAGTCGTACTGTCTAGGAGGATTAGTTTACGTTTCTTTGGAAAATACATTTTGTGCATATGGCTATCCAAGAATATTTTACTGCAAAATATCTTAAAGAAGAAGATTGTTTGAATAATGATTTATTAGGCGTAAGTCGAAATAATAGCGATCATGATGAAAATTGAGAATACGATACTATTAATAAAATGATTAAAGCTCTTTATTTTATAAAATTAATAGATAAAAGTACATACGAATGTATTGTGTCAAAGAATATCACTATTCTCTAAGTTGCAGAACATTCCGATGATTGCTTGAATGATTGCTTTTCTAATGGTCCATTAGATGATGGACTAAAAAGACGACTTTTTATTTATAAAGTTTGGTTATTCAATTACAGAATTGTTGTCAATTAATTCCAAATCTGATTGGTTTGAAAATTAACACTGGTCCTCCGAAAATAATCGAATTAAATGACGCTTTAAAGATAATTAATGATTGCATACTCCTGCGTATTCTTGGTGGAAATTGATGGAGAGATTTTGTTCTATTAGCAAGATTTTTAAGAGAGAAACCCACTTTTTTAATTGTTTAGACCATTCTTCGGAACAAATTATTACAAAAATTTAAAAATGGGTAAAATAAGCCAAGAAATGCGAGAGAAAATTGAACAGAAGAGGGTTAAGCCAAGTAAAGATCTCTAAAGAGCTAAAAATTGCTCGCAGTACTATTCAGAACAACCAGAAAGAGAAAGCGGAACATTTTGCTACGGAGGACAGGTCCAGGTCTGGCCAAGAAAAAAGAGAATTCTTTTTGGTAAAAAAAATCCTTAAAAAAAGGAGGATGAGCTTGAGAGCTATTCTTTTTCCAACAAAACAACATTTGACCTGTTTCCTAAACAAAGAGTCAGAGTCAGATGTAAACGGGAGGATAAGGGCAAGCCAAGAAACACCAGGAAAAGTTTCTGTAACGTCAAATATGATGATTTCAGAGCTCTGGCATATATCTCAACTTTAAAAGAGCATCTACTTCCTATATATACACAGGAGAATATCTTTCAATAGGATGGAGTACGATGCCACACATCAAAAGTATCGAAATCTTTTTTAAGACGAAATAAAATAAAATATCTAAAAGACTGACCAGCACAAAGTCCAGACTTGAACATAATAGAAAATCTCTGGGCAGAACTATATCTATTAAACATAGGGTTTACAAGAGAATTCCAAAAAATCAGGAGGATTTGAAGGTTGTCATAGAAGAGAAATTTTTTTTGATTTCTGAACACTATATAAAACATTTATATAGCTGCATAAAAAAAGAGATGCCGTCTTGTCATCCAAAATAAAGGATATGTGATAAATTATTGATTCAAGTTGGAATTTTTGCATTATTTGAAATACCTGCCAGAAATTTTACCTCCTCCTTCATTCTAAACAAAAAAAAAATAATTAATCAAGTCGTTTTAGTTAAATATTTCACTTTTTCCACGTTAAGAACAACCCTGCCCAAGATTTTTTATTGGGACTGTATGTTAAATAATGTATTATCTGATTTTTCAAAGATGATCGAATGCTTATCTAAATCGGAGAATCTTATAATGATGAGAATGATTTGGAATTATCGATAAAGAAAAATGAGGATGAACTATTCGATTTATTCGAGATATTCGATGAAAACAATTTGATATTGGAATTATACTTGTACACAGACTATGATGATACACAAACATCCGTTACAAGGTACTCATGTGCACACCAGTCCTGAATCTGATGGTAGGGTCCCTCCTTTTTCCAATTGTGTCATCTTCATCTTCTACATAGTCATTTTTGTTCCTCTTTCTCTTTTGCAGAGGATCTGCTTTGCTCATTGGAGCTGCATCTTCTTGTGACCGTTGACTACATTTGTAAAAAGAGCATATACGAAACATCTTTTATGGATTTTAATTTTTGCAAGTTTTGTGGATTACAATGCATGGATACACAGTATGGCAGTGAGATGAATGCTACTACTTACCTATGAATCCAATTCTTCAGATGTAGTTTCAGTCTCCTCTTCAGATGAATCCATTATTATGATTAAAAAATTGTTTGGGTTGATAGTTTTGTTAATAATTTTGACCAAAATTTTTATTTAATTGTTTTCTTTTTTTAGCTTTTATCAACATCTACGAAATATGACAAGACAAGAGATAAATATGAAATCATAGATATCATAGTAACACATCTACCTTTAATTATTATTTAAGATTACTAGTATAAACCTTCAAGCGTTATCTTAGTGAAATTAGACGATGGCCTATGATCGTGAATCATTCGTCGACTACAATAAATTGAAATGTCGAGGAAGAGACAAATTCCAATCCAAATGGTTCCTAAATGCACCAACCTTCCAAATCAATTGGAGACAACTCAACGGACAAATATGGTCGACTCATCAACTCTAGATGAAAAACTGGAGGAGCAAAGGAAGGGATTTGAGGAAAAATTCGAGGAATCGAACGCTTAAAATCAACGCTATGAGAACGGAGATGACGACACAAATGGAGTGCATCATTCAAATGATAGGATCCATTCAGTCAGGTTCAACTAAAGAATCATGCAAGTCATCCATCCGTATTCGAACGCAAGAATTGGAACATTCCCCAACGGTCGAATTACAATATGGCCTAACTTCGAAGATAATCCAAAAAGTTCAAATCCATGAGAAACAAAAAAGCAACGTAATGTTATTTGAGAATGGCGGTCAAAATGACAGAGGATCTTCTTCGAATTATTCTAATTCTAGAATCTGCACTCTAAGGAACAAAAAAGTTGTTTTCTTCCGAGAAGTTTAATGGCGGAAATTCTATAGGGATATTATCGTTCCATTACGAGAAGCAGACACAGAAGATTCTGAAAGATGTCAGATACTAAAACGTTAAATAGCGGAGGAGGTTCAAGAAACTTCTTATGTTTTTGAACCTCCCGAATTACAAAGGACGCTCACAGTTTGACAAACTAAAACAATATATTGAAAGGCTTCCAATAAATATCCGGAGTCATATTGATAACGTTATGTTCAAACACACAAGTAACTTTGATCTGATTGTAACGAAACTAGTACAATATATTGTAGGAGTCATCAAAGCTATCGAAGATGGTTCTCTTCCATGGAGGACTACAGAAACGAGCGTAGTAGCTTCTAGTAATTTCAAACAATCTGATATCCCTAAAGACAACAGACACCGAAACAACAATTTAAGAAGCATGCATATCCCATTTCGAACTCAGAAGACAATGGTAAAAAAAGAAAACCACAAACTATATCACCAACACAAGAATTCCAGATGTTTATGCACCGAAAATCATACATGTTTGGCTTATTGCCCAATTTACATAAATTCTGATCTGAAGGGAAGACAAAGGTTGATCCATTTACTGCATAGATGTCCGAACTGTCTACGCGGTGGGGCACACACGTGAAAATTGTCAATCAAAATTTAGTAGCAAAAAAGTGCGATCAAACTCATCGCACATCTCTGTATCACAAAGAAGAGACGATTCCTAAATCTAAAGCTACTGTAAACCACAACTATACAAAGAAGGCGACAAAGAGAATGCCCATATATGCCGCAACGGTAAAAATCCCAATATCTGGCAATTCTGTAAAATCACAGCTCTCATTGATATGGGTGCAGCCGTTTCCTTAATTAGCAGACAATATTTAGAAGATATATTGTGCACATCAGATACAGGAAATGTCTGTTGGATTGACATATCTTATGTTAACAATGAATTTCAAACAATCACTACAGAGAAAGTTCGAATCATATTTCCGCACTTAGGCAGAATTTATGATGTCGTTGCCTGTGTCATAGATTCATTATCTTCTATACTGGAGCAGCCAGAGATGTATATTAATCCGAATTATACGGAGCCGTCTGTACCTAGTGGTAATATAAATCTACTCATAGAACTAAGCTCAGATTTGAATGGTAAACATACATCACGTACCTCTTGAATTATACACCACTGAGAACTATGCCTATATTAAAGATGCCCTCGGATGGTATAGATCCACCTCTCCATATACAGCAACAGTCCATCCAAATCCAATAAATTGTAATATGCTCTATCAAGAGACTAGCTCTAGTGTTCACCATATCGATACAATTAAAGAACTATCTGAAATAGATGATATTGATTCAGAATCTTCCTAATCAATAGATGACAATCACGCAACAGAGAATTTGGCGAAATATATCCAACGAAATTACCATTCAAATGGGATCCAAATATCCTATGGCAAAAAGTAGATTTTTAAACATTCGACGTAAACCTTTTTACAATGACGAGAACAGGAAGGCCATACGATCTCTATTCGATAATTCATATGCACGCCAGGTATCTCCTGAAGAGGTAAAATTCTATCTCCCTCACCATGGTGTGATAAATCCAAAAAAGGACTCTATCCGCATAATTTTTGATGCAGCCGTTAAATATAAAGGTTATTCTCTCAATGATATACTTTTTCCAGGACCCTCGTAATCCAATTAAGCCCATCTTCTTACGTTATGGAGAACCAAACCATACTTTATCTTAGCAGATATTAAACATATGTTTTTAAACATACATGTCGACTAAACTGATCAATCTTATTTTAACTTTTTATATGAAGACCCTCGAAAACAAGACAGAATATTATCAGCAGTTATCACACGTCATATTTTTGGACCTACAAGTTCTCCGTTCGTTGCATGTACGGCTATAAGCACCACTATTTAACAAACATCCACCTTATCCCTCCCAAGAAAAGAAAATAATATCGAAATCATTCTACATAATGACCTGATTTTGGACAGGAACTGGAAAACCTAGCTTATCGTTTAAACACTGAATTAGCAGCCAAAAATCTATGCCTAGCAAACTATGCTACCAATAGTAATTGCATTCATTCACGCTTGTCCTTAAATATCCAAAACATCGACAACCCTATTAAGGTCTTAGGACTGACCTATAACCCGGATCCAGATGAGATCGAAATCAATATACAGAATAGAGATATAGGACCCTCATTCACAAAACGTCAATTTTATTCGTATGTTACACAAATATACGATATTATGGTGTGTATAGAACCTGTGAAATTACAAGCGAAAGTCCTCATTTCGGATTTTCATGGTTTACATTGGGACAAAAGAAGTAATAATTAGACTAATATCAACAAGGTATTAAAGGACATCTCTGGTTCCTACTCACTTGCAAGACAAATACCATCACCCAACTTTATACACATTTACGCAGATGCCTCAGACATAGCGTACGGAGCAGCAGTCTATGCAGTCACTGGGCAGAGAGGCTATCTGTTGGCATCTTCTTCCGTCTTCCCTGGAATCCCTGGAGCAGAATTGATGGTAAACTTTATTGAAAATCTATAAATCAATCTTTACCGAGATCCCAATCAAAGTATTTCTTGATAGTCAAATAGTGCTTAGTTACTTAGAGAATGGAGATTTAAAACTAGCAAAATATATACGTAATGCAGTAAAATCAATAAAACCGAATCACAAGCCAGCTGGTGTGACATTCGATCAGAAGATAACCCTGCTGATTACTTAACAAAGGTAAGAAGAAAGATGAGAGAGAAATGGGAAGACTTCAAGGAAATAAAAATCGTTCATGATAAACCTAATATTACAATCAACATGCTAACCGTGGACCTTACCTTCGAGTTAATGGGAGACGAACTATGGCATGCATTTTAAGATTCAAATTCAAAGCTTAATCCCCTCCGTATGATAGAAATAATGATGACGAAGTGAATACAAGAGAACTCGAGATAGCCCAACGATATCTATTTAAACTCGTACAAGCTACGATGCCAATAAATAAATTATTAGAAAATAAATAATTATTCACTGTATGAGGAGGATGACGGAACTTATACTACCATCGGAAGATTGAATGAATCTCATCTAACAAGGAAGATTATAGTCGATGCTCGTTATTCTATTGTCCCTTCAAGAACTGTGAAATGGATTTCTCTGGACCGACAGTCGCGATATTAAAACAATTAATGATCTGCATAGGTCTGGTAGACCAATGTAAAATCACCAGGAGGATGGAACTGCAACTCACAAAGACATGCGGATCGAATCCAAAATGGACAGCTAGAGAAGTTTTGGAAAACTCTGCAGTTCTTATTGGGATATCACTATCTAGTATGAAAAAAATCTTATGCAAGTATAAATTAAATGGCAGAATTTCTGTAATGAAGCCAGCTCTAAATACAAAGTAAATTAAGAAAAGAATACAATTCTGTAAGCAAAAGCTTAAATGGAGCTCAAATAGATGGAGAAAAGTAATATTCAGCGATGAAAGCAACATTGAACTGCATCCCCGTCGAAGGGAATATGTTAGGAGGCCAGTTGGTAAAAGAAATGATCCAAAATATACCACTAAAACAGTAAAGTTTGATGGTGGTAACATCACGGTCTTTGGATTTATAAAATATAATGGAGACAGAGGACTCTGCAATGAATGAATGAATGCCAATGGGTATATAGATATAATCTCAGAAAATATCTTATCTACATACAAACGGGGTGAAATTTTCCAGCAAGATGGAGCGAGCTGCCACACAGCAAAAACAACTACTACATTCATAAGGAAAGAGATGAAATTACTAGAAAACTGGCCTGCAAATAGCCCAGATATTAACATTATTGAGCCCATTTGGGGTATACAATTGTTTACCTATCTAAAAATGATTGATTTGTTATAATTACATAATAGTGGTCTAAATTCATAGTATCTAAAATTACGGTGAATACGATCCTGCTGTTATTTCTAAAGAACGCCAACGTTTAAATGCAAGATGTTGCACATAACTATTTAACAATATGCACAAGAAAACAGAATCGTACAAGGACAAATATAAGCTAAATCTTTAACCCAACGACCTCGTCCTATTCCTGGACCAAAGATCTATCTACAATCTCAAGTTCGGATACATCAATCGCAAGATTATAGAACGTACCTTCGAGATCTACACCGGACATAGCGATATCGAGAGAGATGCAAGAGATATAATTCCCTATTCAACGAATGTGCCTCTTTCCTAGGAAAGGTAATGTGGTGGATGAGTCCAACGACTATTCTTGGCAAAGAGCCAAGTGAATAATGTGAAATAATGAATATGCATTATAAGAGTTTTAAGAAAAATTCATTTAAGAAGACTATGTACTATCTAATACCGATAGTGTTTCTAATGGAGATGATAATATAATATGCCCTATAAAAGAGTTGGAATTGGACAAAGAAGATTGCGAGAAATACTGTAAAGAGAAGAGAATTTTTGCACAGTTTTTTGTTTGCTAAATATAACTAACTGTCTGTCTGTTTGTCAAATTGATTTAAAACTTTTATACTGTATTAGAAGATTTATAAAAAGTACTAAGGAAAAGAGGTTATACTGCACAAATCGTCTTAATTGATTCTTGAATAGGACTGTCCAGAAAAATTGATGAGATATTCCGCTTGCTGTTCGTTTAGATTATTGAATGAGAGCCATAAACTAAGGTTTTTAGATGAACTTTTTAATCCATTACATATTGAATTGAAACCTCTTCCCATTTTATTATTCCAAGAAATGTTAAATATTTCCAAATTGAAGCATTGTCTAAGAAGATCACTAATATATTTTGTCTCATTTTCGCTTAAATTACATTCGAGAATATTTAAAATTTTCAGATTTGTTGAAGAGGCTTTCAATCCACTACAAACTCCTCTAAATCCTTTATCTATTTGAGGATTAAAAGAAATATCCAAAGATTCGATTTTAGTACAATTTTTCAAAAGATCTCCAAGGTAAGTACTTTCGTATTCTCTTAAATTACATTCTTGAAATTTAATTATTCTTAATGAGGCGTAGGATGATTTTAATCCTTCGCATATATATTTAAATCCATCTTTACCGTAACAATTTAAAGAACCATCGAAAATCTCTAGTTTAATGCATTTTTTAAGGAAATTACCAACAAATTTCGCTTGATCTTCATCAATAATACATTTAGATAGATTGAACTTTTTAATTGAGGATATTGAAGAGTTTAATCCATTGCAAACATCTTCAATTTGTTTACCTATTTTACTATTGGAATGAATATTAATAACTTCAAGATTGATACAATGATTAAGAAGATCATTAAAATTTTCCAATTGATTTTCGCTTAAAATCCATTGAGAAAAATTTAAATCCTTTAAATTCATTGAAGATATTTTAAGACCATCGCAAATGGAATTAAAACCTTTTCCAAAATTGAAATTATATGAAATATTAAAAATTTCCATATTTTTACATTTTTTCAAAAGTTTTCCCAATTCATTTCCTTGATTCTCTTCCAAACTACATTTATAACAATTTATACTTTTTAATACGTCCGACGAACATTTAAGACTATTGCAAATTGAATGAAATCCTTTACCCATAAAACAATTACAAGATATATCAATTCTTTCAATGAGAATACATTTTTGAAGAAGAGACGCAAGATGTTCAGCTCTTTTCTCTCCTATATTACATTGCGATATATTTAAATCTTTTAAACTAATTTTTGAAGATTCCAAGCCTTCGCAAATTGAAAAGAAACCTTTTCCAATTTTTCTATTTTCGGAAAAGTTGAACGTTTGTAAAAATGGACAATACTTAAGAAGATTTCCAAGATATTTTCCTTCATTCTCCTGTAGATCGCATAAGCTAAAATCTAAATATTGAAGATAATTCGACGATTGTCTTAATCCGTTAAAAATAACTTTAAACGCTTTTCCAATTGTTGGATTCGACGAAATATTTAATACTCTTAGACGTTCCAATTCTTTTAGTAGTTCTCCAAGAAATTCACCGTCATCTCTATCCAAATTACAATCGGAAATGTTTAAAATTTCTAACATGTTTGCAGAGGATTTTAATCCGTTACAAATAGCTTTAAATCCATTTTTAAGGCATCTATTCTCGGCAAAATGGAATTCTTTAATATTATTGCAAAGATTCAATAGATCCTCAAAGTATCTGGCATCGTATTCTTCCATATTACAATGAGAAAAATTTAGATACTTTAAACTATTGGAAGAGGATTTTAATCCATCGAATATCTTAGAGAATCCATTATCAAAATCTGAATTACAATAGATATTGAATAGTTTGTAATTTTTAATATTTTTAAGAGGATCTTCAAGACATTGCGTTTGTTCTTCGTTCAGAATCTTTTGGCAATATTGTAAATTTTTAAAATCTATAGTTGCAGTTATTTTCAATTCGTTTATAACGGAAGATAATCTTTTCTCAATATTTGAATTCCAAGAAAAATTGAATTGTTCAAGTATTGTACACTTTTGAAGAAGATCACCAAGATTATCCGCTTGATCTTCGTCTAAATTACATCTGGAAAAGTTTAAATTAATTAGATATTGAGAAGAAGATTTTAATCCTTTGCATATTGTATTAAATCCGGTTTTTGTCTTTCTATTTTCAGATAAATTGAACGTTTCTAAAGTTGTACATTCCTTTAGAAAGAAACCAAGATATTTTGCAGGATTCTCGTTTAGGCAACATTTTGAAAAGTTTAATTGTTTTATAGTCGCCGCTGATGATACTAGACCGTCGCATATCGCGTAGAAACCTTCGTTTGTTCCACTATTTTCTGACATATTGAAATATTGCAGATTTGAGCACTGTTTGAGAAGTTCTCCCAAACATTCACCATCGTCACCGTTCATTGAACAATTGGTAAAGTTTAAACTTTCGAGATGATGCGCAGACGGCTCTAGGCCATCTTTAATGAATATAAGATGATTTTCTAAATGATTTGAATGAGAGATATCGACCGTTTGCATAAGTTTACAATTGCTTAGAACGTCTCCAAGATAACGAATCTGATTGGCGTTTAAATCGCAATAGGAAATATTTAAATGTTTAAATTGATTGCAGGACGATCTGAGACCTTGAAATATTGCTGTAAAACCTTTACCAATTCCAATTATTTTGGAAATATTCAATGCCTCCAAATTCGTGCAGTGCTTTAACGAATCGCCAAGTTGTATTCCCTGTTCTTCTTTTAAATTTAATCCTTGAAAATTTAAATTAGTCAGATTATGACTAGAAAATTTTAATCCATTGCAGATAATCTCAAATCCTTTTTCAATATTTTTTACCTCTTGTAATTTTAATGTTTCCATATTTGGAAAAACTACAAAACATTCTCCAAATCCTAATGCTATCTCCTCATTGGCTATACAATTTTCGAATTCAACCATTTTTAAAGTTTTCGAAGAATAAAGTAATCCTATTTTTAATTGTTCAAAAGTATGTATTAGATTAAAATCTTTAAAAGAGACTCTTTCCAATTCTGAGCAGTTTTCAAAGATTTCTGAGAGAAGTTGAGGATTCTTTTCCCTTTCGTGATATGATGAAAGGTCAAGGACGTTTAAAGTTTTACTACATATCTTTAAAAGTTCCAGAATCTCTGATTGGAAATCTTCTCCAATACAATTATATAAATCAATAGGAAAGGGAGATATTCGAATAATATCCCTTTGAATAGCCTTCTTTAAACAATGAATATATTGCATTTCCTTTGAATTAGGAGTCTTTGTATGGAAAATTAACGTTCTCTTTTGTTCTCTATTTTCAGGATTAATAATAAATTTGAGTGGATCATTTAAATTCGTTTCTATCTTTATAGTATTTAAATTCCTTTGTTTTTTCTTCTTATCAACTCCATCATTATTATCAGAGGAAGAAGAGATGTACAGGAAACAATTCTCTAAAAAATTTTCATTAGGTTCTTCAATTTCGCAATTCTCCAAATAAATTGCTTTTAGATTTTGATTTTCCATTTTTGTTTTGATGATCATAAAGATAAAACTAATGAAATCTGTATCTAATATTTTATTCTTAATCGTTAACGTTTGAAGGGAGAAAAGTTCATTGACAAAGATTAAGAAACTTAATGGAAGATACTGCAATGATATTTGGCTTTCGTCCTTTAAATGCCTTATAAAACAAGGTCCAAATGTTACTTTTAACATAATTTCATTATTATTATGTTTGTTTGAAATTGTTAATATTTCTATAAAACGATTTCTACCAGTTTTCTCATATTCATTTTCCCGAAATATATAGAATTTCTTTTCTCCGTAATAGAAGTTTCTTATCTCCGTACCAGTTATTAATTCTAAAATATTACCTAAATAGATAATATCGTAATCATCAATCTGATTTTTATTCGATTCAATAAAAATATATTTCAAATTTGGGCAATATTTTGAAAGAAGTTGAAATAATAACTCTTCATTTATATCCGAATCGATAAGCGTTATCGTCTCGATATTTTCGCCTTTCATCTCCAAAAATATTGTTAATATATAATCTGGGATTATCTCATTATTAATAGTAACTATTGTACCATCATCTTTTAAGCATTTCAATAGAGTTTGAACATTTTCGAACATTTCCGACAGTTTTTTCGAATATTCTATTAATTTTTCGTAGATTATCTGCGAATATTCTTTAATAAAATTCAAAATATGATAAATCTCTATCCATTTTCCTTTCGTTAAAAATTTAATAATCATCTTCCTATCGGAAATAGCTTGTTGATAATTTCCATACCAGTTTTTGCTTGTCTTTTCGAATTCTCTTATAAGATATTGCGAAGCGAAATATTCTTGAAAGGATGAATGATAAAATTGTACTTCCGTTTCATTTGAATGAATTGATTGTTCTGGTATAATTTGGAGAATACCTTTAAAATATTTCTCAACTATTAGAGCATCTTCAATCTTCAAAATGAACTTTGTCTTCTTCTCAATAAGATTTATAAAGCATAATCCATAGAAATGGGTCATGTTATACTGATTATCTTTACTCCTAAAGATTCTATTCCTCTCTTGAACAAGATTTACAATATCATCGTAAATTTGATATTGATTAATATCGAATATGTTACCAGTCTCTTTCCAAACTTGATAAAGTATTAAACCTAGAAGTGGTACTCTACAAAGATTCCTTATTCCTTGATTATTTATTAGTACGTTATCGAGGAATACTCTCTTCTCTCTATCATCTCCCAAACATTTCTTTAGTAACGATTGCAATTGTTCTATATTTAAGCCTACAAGTTCAAAGGTAATATTACAGGTTCTATAAATTTCATCAGCCTTCCAATTTCTACTCCAAACGATTGTTGGAACGTCAATTTCCTGCCGATGGACGATATTATATATGGAACGATCAGCAAAATCATATTCGTCCGCTGAATCGATGAGTAGTAAGATATCTTGACACTTCTCCTTAAACAAACATTGTATAATCTGTTTAGATACGAAAGGAACATTTGTAAAATTTTGTTTAATAATCTCATCATAGATATCGTTATCCGGTTCAAAGTTGCTTAAATTGAGTACTATAAGCAGTCTATCTTTTTTATCTATCCTCCATAGATCTTTTGCCCAAGTGTAGACGAGATATCTCATATGAATAGTTTTTCCAATTCCCGATTCTCCTTTAATTGAAATCTTATTGAAATTCTTATCAAGAATATTCGGAAAATCTTCAAAAGTTAATTCCGATTGTAATAGAGTCCTATCAGAAATGTCTATCTTATTGATATGAGATACTCTTATCGATCCTTCTACATTTAATAGACTAATAGAATTTGTCTTTTCAAAGGGAAAGAGAGCAACCTGTCTTGAATCTCTTCTCCTCTCTATCTTTGTCCGATCGATAAGTATTTTCCATATTGTATCTTTATTTCGAAGATTATTAGCCAGATGAGAGATATCTTTCTTATCAAAACTATCTAATATACAAATGATAAGGTTAAAAGTTTCCTTCTTCAGAATCATTATCAATTCTTCAATAGCCATATCTTTATTGAGTTTTTTATATAGATTCAATAGATTCTCTTCCTCTTTACTATTTATCTTTCTCTTCTTCCCTAATCTCCTACATACTTCTTCAAAGTTGTACTCTATTTGAAGAAGACTTCTCAAATGATCCGAATAGAATTTAAAGCATAAACTCTCAACGGCGTTCATTCTACTTTTAAAACTGTCTTCGATTTTACGCATCTCTATTATTGTTTATTTTTTTTTTAAAAAAACAAATGATACTTATGAATGAATAGAAAATAGTAAAAAAGATAAGATAACTTACACGTAAATGTAAAGTATTAGAATATAGAATTCAGCTACTAGAGTTTGCGCAGTAGCTATGGAGAAACAAAAATCTTAATATTTGATAAAGATCTTATTTAGGTTATATTTATTTAAATAAGCTTATTTAATCAATATAACCTCTATATATAAACGCAATTTTCTAACAATGAGGTTAAAGGTTATAGTTAATTATTACAATAAATAAAAAAAAAACAATAAATGATCCTTAAATTAATCAATCAATCAATTATTGGAAAATGGTGTTTTTACACACTTAGAAGAAAAAATGCAGTTAAATAATACTTTGTAAGCGTCTAGTTGTACCGAAAATTTAATTATGTAATTAATTATTCGAATTACTAGAGCAGTATCAAAACGTTCGAGAACAAAAAGTCGATATTGAAAAAGTATTGGATCAAAATTGGTTTTTTAAAAAAAATGAGAGAGAGCACTGTTGATTTTTTTATTTAAATAGGCTTAGTTAAGGATTACAACTGGGTTAGTGTAAAACCAGCCAGAATGACTCTTGAATATTCTCTATCGCATTTCCATTACAATTGATGATAAAGGTCAAGGTCGAGTAAAATATTCGAAAAACGATAATCATATATCATTTAAAAGCAACAAAATACCCGATAGTATTTTCTATTCTCTTGTAGAGCTACACCTCTTGTTATCTTCTCATTCGAATTATTATCACCTTTAGGTATTTTCCTGGCTAGAAACGGTAAAAAGTAATAATTGAAAATATATTATTTAATATAATTAATTAACTAGGTCAATTAACCTAATCTCGTAAAGAATTCCTGTACATTTTGTGAAGATTTTGCAGAAGTTTCCATAAATAGCAACCCATTTTCTTCGGCGTATACTTTTCCTTCCTATAAATAAGGATAATTAAAATTGTAAATGATGAAAAGAAGAAGAATTTCTCTTATCCGTTCATCCTTACTTCAATTTCTACTGCACGATGCTTGCTCAAATCAGATTTATTACCGGCAAGGGCAATAACAATATTAGAGCTGGCTTTCAATTGTAATTCTTCAACCCATTGTTTAGCCCTATGAAATGAATCTTGACTCGTGATATCGTAAACAACAACGGCAGCTCTTGCTCGACGATAATACATTGGAGCTAGACTGTGATATCTTTCTTGACCGGCTGTGTCCCATATCTCCAATTTTACCGTTGCATCTTCGAGAGTTTGTGTAAGGAAGGCGGCTAAATAAAATTCTGTTTAGTCTCTATATTTCGCAATATTTTATATTATATGAAATATTACCTCCTATAGTACTTTCTTGATATTCGTTAAATTCATTATTTACGAGTCTTAATAGTAAACTCGACTTTCCAACTGCCGATTCTCCTAATAATACAATCTGAAATTGAAAAAATCTACCACAATTGGTATTTGGTCTGCTTAGCTCTTCCTCAGTCATATCTACTAGAATAAGATTAAGCAACACAGCAATATACTCGTCAGAAGGTAATGAATCATTGGATTTCCCAGAAATTCGACCTCGACATTCAATAAAGTATATTAATAGTGTTATATGTACGTAATACTAACGAAACTGTTGTAATAATAACTATATAGCGAGTGTAGATCCTTTATTTTAAATTAATGTTGGGTAAAGATTACATCTTCCCAGAGAGAGAGAGAGAGAGAGAGAGAGAGAGAAAAGTAAATACTATTGATTATTAGAACAAGAGAGATTTCATTGATAGGAAAACGTAAACAAAAACCTAATGATGATGATTCAAACCCAACCAACATTCTCAAGTCTGAGGGATAGAATAGCTTATCTCTTATCAAACCATAATAGGTGATTGTAATGTATTCAATGTTTTCAGTTACGGCTGTCTATCTGTATAAATCTGTCTAGACTATATAAACACTATATTACTACAAACTTTTACGACTTCGATTTCATACTAAGCAAATGACAAACATAATGTTCATATCTCTTGTCTTCATTCGGAAACAATCTTGGGCATAGTTCACAACGATACTTTATAGACAAATGTCTTACCTGAATATGGATTAGCACGTCATCAAAGGTCTTGAAATTATTATAACAGATATTACATTCATACAGGACCAGTCTATGTCTCAAACCCGGTTCCCAGGGTCTTTTTCTACGTCGACATTTTAGTATATCGCAATCGGTGACTCCTTTTAAGCAATTTTCAACGGTTTCCACGTCTATGAATTCTTCATCCGAACTCTCCTCCATATTATAATATTCATCAAATGGCTGCTCGTCATCTTCTTCCTCAGAATACTGCTTCTCCTCTTCAATCGTCTGAAAGGCGGAAAATTTAATTGTTAGGAATATTTGATAGATTAATTAAGTAATTTTCAAACTACTGATTGTCTTTGCGGTAGTAATATGTTCAACAGCAATGCATTCAGTAATTTCAGTAGGTAAAAACCTAAACCAGTCGTAAAGAAACGACCGAGGAAAGTAGAATTCCCATAATCGTCGGTATTGTTTTCTTTCATTGATAATATCAAAGTTTACTGAAAATAAAATTTGTAAATATAACTAAGGTCAAGGTCACTTTTTTTACTTTGTGTTTAGCCAATTGATACTATCTACATAGTCATTAAAGTATAAAAGGAGTATATATAACGTTAAACTTCTTTACTTATAGAATGTAACATTTAAATACTACTATTACTATTAAATATTAATAAAAAAAGTTTAATTGTTACCTTTAGCCCATTTCAAATGTTACGAATAACGCCTTCTATGATCTGGATATTATTCCCTATCCATTGTATTTAGTGTGGTTTCGGCAAAGTACTGATGTAATGTAATGTTATTTTGATGATTTAATGCTATTGTACATTATCTTTGCTTTGTTTTCTATATATATATATATATATATATACTTTTGAAAAATAGAATTGCAAAGTGATCTATTATTAACAGTTAATAAAAGATGGAAATATTTTGAAAAATGGAAAGCGGAAGTAAACAGAACGAATAAATTTCGTACGAAATCATATCTACAAATAAAGTCAATTTTCTTTTTCATATTCTATTAATGGATTGTTGAGATACAAAAAAATATTTTTGTTCTTCATTTTATTGTTATTCTTTACCTAAACAAATCAATCTGTAAGGATCATTTGTTAATCATTCAATCAATCGCAGGACTCTTTGAATTATTAGACAATTATAATTTAATATACAAATTCATTAGAAATAATAAAGAAAATAACAAGAGAAAATATTATTAACTAAGCTTAAAATTTCTTTAATTCTTTAAAAAGAGCGGGAAAAATGATAAAGAACATATTCGTTCTTTTCAGAAGTAAGTCAATTTTCTCCTATCTGCTGATAAGATATTCGAACTTATAGAAGAATCCTATTCGGCTGATAATTTACAAACCTATTTGGCTAGTTTTAGATTTAGATTTTATCAACAAAGACCTATTCTCTATTAACGGAAGCAAAAGAAGAGAACAAAGAATCTATACAAAGAGTTCCAATGGATTGTACATATTTCATTGGATTCGTTGTAGTGACTTAGTGCAAACATAATGAATTTGTTAAGTTGAAGATTAGCAATATACGACGTTATCATTCATTATTATTCCGATATGGTAATATCAATATCCAATATACAGTATAGTAGTATACTATGAGAAAAAAAGCTATTAATAGCATTAATGATAATAATGAATGAAACCTAATAGGACTAATATTTCATTGATTGATACATTTCCTTTGTTTACTTGTGGGGAAAAAAAGAGTGTTAATCAATAAACAGATTATCAGCTAATAAAGCCTATTAAATTGGTTTATTCGTGAAGGATTAAAGATAAAAATCCTCATAATAAACACTATCTATTGGCTAATAATTAAATAATAAAAGATTCTATAGATAAGGAATTCTTAGGGAAGACGATTAACAAAACTCTAAACACCCAAATCTAGGCAATAATGTTACAGCTTATCATCCTTTAAAGGCTTAATCTTTAATGATTAGGATATAAGAAAATGAAAAACAAAAATTTTCCACTTTCTATTCAGTTAGAGTATAAATAAAATCCAAAATTACTTACTGCAAATATATTCCAGTTTATTTTTGAGACAAAACGCTTATAGCTTAAGAAATTATTCAAGTAGTAGAAAAATGTCCATCATTTTATTACATTTATCGTAAACTAGGCCTAAAAAGTTTGTCAAAAAGTTGGAATTTTGTATATTCATCATAATAGCTTGGAGAATTAGAGCAACACCATTATCCGTTTCATTGAACGAATTTTGTTATGAATTGGTGATTCTGACTAATAGAACGCTAAAATGTGCGAATCAGTTGAAAATGCTAGATGCTCCATAGCCGGAAGTTGGTTGGTATGATCATATTGGTCCTACTGTGAAAATCCTTGTCCGGATGGAGGATATACGATCAGAAAGAGATAATGTAAGAAGAATTCTCCTCCACCGAATGATGGTTTAGACTTTTCAACGGAATTTTAATGACGCAAATTTATTTTGAGATATGCCAGGAAAGGATAGGGAATTTCATTATGAAACCGATTCATTCTTATTTGGTGGAAGAGATGAGATTTTTTTGAGAAAGATAGAGATTAATCACTTTGAACTAGTGAAGTCAACCATTAAAATTCTATTGGCTTAAAGTTGAAGAGAAGGTTACTCTCTTGGAACGGAGACAGACTTAACCTTTTTTCAGAGATTCACAATACCGTGGAATAGAGAAAGGATACTCGACCATTAATTATCATTTTTGGGAATACACTCTTGGAAACTTACGAAGGTGACGAAATTTAAATAACCGTCAAGGAATGAAGGTCAACTCTGTTTATATTTTTAATAATATCCCCAACTTTATAAATTGGTCAATTTGCATAAAATATTCCAATTACCTGATTGTTTGAATATGAATTGACAATAATGTCAATGAACTCGTCTATAAATATGTTAAGTAGATAACGAGATTAAGAATAAGACCCTTTAGTTATTTGGCCCGAATAGTAAACAACAACCAAGCAGTAAATTAGGGAACATAACTCTAGCTCTCTCTCTCTCTCTCTTCTTATTCAATATTTTCAGAACGAAAGATTAAAGAGAGAAATCCAAAGCAATAAATTACTGTATAATGTAAGCCTAGCATTATTATTATTATTATTATTATTACAAGGTAAATAAAAGACTAATGGTTCGCCATTAGAAAGGTAATTCTCTCCTTTCAAGTAAAAGCTATTATATTTACAAGTCCCTTTAACAACTTTCTCGTAAAAGGATTTTTTCATTCATTCATTGAAAGTAAGTAGTAAGAAATTACTATAAAATATTAACTTTATCATCTAAACTTATTGAAAATTTTCATTAAGCTGACGCTGATTGAATTAAACATGATTGAAATTTTTGATGAATTAAAGTGTATTCTTGTGTAGTATTATACAGAAAAAAAACTGACTATATTTGTTTTTTATTTTCTCTTATACTAATCTAAAAAAATCAATATGAATAAGTGAAAAATTTTGCAGTTGGAGTAAATATTAAAGAGTATGGCCAATACAAGTTGAGCTATATTCAAGTTTTGACTACCATTGTTGATCTAGCGCCCAGTATCTATGTATATATATACTGTACGTTTATTGAATAAAACTTAATAAAGGACGAGTCAATGGAATAGTCTTCTAGAAGAGAGGGAAATTATCATTGTATCATGAATGAGATTAGCGAAAGGATAAAAGGATTTATAAGGAAAGGAATTGCCGAAGAAGTTTTAAATCTAATTAACGAAGATATAAATGATAAAGATTTAAATATAATAATTGAAAATATTGGAGATTATCTCAAAAGATTAACTTTTGAAAATTGTCGGATAAATAGACAACTTCTTCTTGGATTAATTTCGCAGAAATGTTCGATTATTGAAGAATTAAAAATAGTTAATTCAATTAATCTTTTAAATCCGTTCGATTGGAATGTTCTACAAATAATATTCCAATTGATTACGTCAACAACTCTCCAACTATTTTCATTTGGTAATATAAACTTCCATTTGACCAGAAATAATAATTTTCCAAAGGAAATCAAAGAAACTGGTATAGAAAGTTTATCTATAGTTTTCACATCTGAAAATGATATTAATTTTAATGTAAATTTCGGATTAAATCCATTTAGAAATATTAAATTAGAATCAAAGATTCTATCGCACTACAACTGCCTTACTAAACATTTTATAGACTTTTTTAACGAGTCTCCTCTACTTGAGACAATAATCATTAAGAATATGATCTTAGAGAGAAATATTCAACAATATTTCTTTAATATCGTTAAGAAGAAAATTGAGAAAGAACAATTAAAGAATGTTTATTTAAATAATTGCGAAATACAGGAACCTGATGAAAATTGTTTTTGGTACTGTTTCGCCTATACATCACCAAAATTTGATGGAAGGAAAAGAATTGGTAACGAGAATGAAAAAAACTCTTTCGATATAGTATTAAAGGAAAATGGAAGATTATCATTCGTTCTTAATCCATATAGTGGTTTATTTAAAAGAAATTTTTTCCAAGGGGAACAATTACAATTAAGTTTAACTGAATGGAATTCTATTAAAAGTACAACATTAGCAATTGAAAAGAAACTGGTAAGACTTATAAATATACCAATCCATCTATATAGAATGGTCGATAATAGGTTTAAATCAATCGTATTGGAATTAATACTCGTATCATTGGAAATCATTCATAAATTTGATCTAGAAAATTATCATTCATTAGTAAAAAATGATGAAATTATTTGGAGAATTTTAAGGAAATGTCTAAAAATAGAAGAAATAAATATAGCTAATGTAAATATTCATGAATATTTTATACTATTTGCAGATGCAATTACCTCATCGTCTAAATGTTTAAAAAGGCTTTTTCTACAAAATTGCGGTATTAATAGTGAAAATTGTGAAATTCTATCAAAACGTTTCCAATACTGTTCAGAGATTGAATTGTTTAATGTATCATTCAATAGATTCTTGGGTAATAGTCTTAATAGCATTTGTATAGGCCTAATACCATCTTCGAATAACCTTAAACAAATAGATTTTATCGATTGTTGCCTAAAAGAGAATCATATAAGAACAATATGTTATCTATTGGAAAAGTGTAACATTCTTGAAAAGTTATCTTTAGCATTCAATAAAGAAATAGGGAAAAATATGAAAAGAATATCAAATTCTTTGAAATCTTCTTCAAAAAGTCTAAAATATTTAGATATTAGGAATATAGATATCATTGAAGATCAGCTGGAATATTTAGGTGATTTTCTGCAAATATGCACTTCTTTTGAATCTTTATATATTGGAGGGAATGTTAAGATGGGATATGGTTTTGTTGACGTTTGCGAAGGATTAAATTCTTGTTCTAACCAACTGAAAAGCATAGATTTTGAATATTGTTGCCTAAAGAGATATCAATTGGAGTATTTAGTAGACGTTTTAATAAACTGTTCAAATCTTCTAACTATTAATCTATCGGGTAATTGTGGGATTAAGGAGAGTATATCGGCAATTTGTCATGGATTACAAACTTCTTGTCAAACTTTACTCTATCTTTCCTTTAACGATTGTGAATTGGATGAGGATGGAATAAGGTGTTTAGGAGAATTTACCCAATCCTGTACTAATCTTGCAAGTTTGGATATTTTTAATAATAACGGAAGAGGAGGAGGAGGAGGAGATTTATGGGAATATATCTTTGTAGGCTTTACATCATCCTGCTACAGTTTTCGAGTGATAAACGCCGGTGGATTGGACGAAAATCAGGCGCAATATCTCGGAGATTTCCTCAAATCTTGTAAAGATATACAAAGTTTAGAAATAAAATTCGAAGAAGATACTCTTGGAGAAGGATTCCACTCTGTTTTTCAAGGACTTCAATCTTCAGCTCATCAACTTAAACAATTAATTTTAAAGGATATCTCTCCGAAACACGTAAAATATTTAACGAATCTCTTAAAATACTCAATTAATCTACAAATATTCCATCTACAAATCGATATTCCTACTCCTACTAATGAAATGGAAGATATGTTCCATACTCTTAAATCATGCAGTTTTTCTCTTAGAGATATTTCTCTACAGTTTCCAATCATCTCCGAACAATCTAGATCATTGGGTAATCTTTTGGAATGGTGTAGAAATTTAGAAAATGTTCATATACTTTTAAATCAGATACTATTAAAAAATGACTTTACGGCTATCTTCCAAGGATTAAAATCCTGTTCCAACTGTTTAAAAACGTTAAATCTTCAAGAGAACAATTTCAATAAAGAGAATATGAGACTTTTAGGAGAATATTTACAATTTTTTACAAATTTAGAATATTTAAATATAACAAGTAAAACAAATATGGAAACTTGTTTTAAAAGTATCTTTAATGGGATTACATATTCGAATAGATTAAAGATATTTCAATTTAATCATTTAAATTTATACGAAAATGAGGCAATTCATTTTGGAAAATATCTTCGTATTTGTAAAACACTCGAATTATTTGATATGTCTGGAAACTTTACTACAGGAAGAGCATTTGAAGATATATGCAATGGATTAAAATCTTCATCAACAACTATAAAAACTCTAAATTTTAATTCATGTAAATTAACTGAAAAACAATTAATATCCCTTTTTGACCTAATAAGAAATTGTAATAATTTGCAAACACTCTACATTTCCTACAATTATTCCCTTAAAGATGATAATATATTTGATTTATTGATCGAAACACTGGAATTTTGCTGTCGTAGTATAAAAGTTATAGAAATATTGGGATTCGAATTGGATGGGAAAAAGTCGAAAAAATTGCGAACTTTTATCGAAAAATGCGATATTCTAGAGAGTTTAATTACTTCTCGTATAAGACAAAATATAAAGCCGAGTACCAAATGATGAAAAAATTGGATCTAATTAATTTATGAATACATTATATTCTTATGCATATTCATTTTGACCTATATAAAATAATATTCTTTATAGGCATAGGAAGACGAGTCGATTAGATACATCTTGATCTTGATCATACAAGTGAAAGTTCATTATCAAAGGAACTTTATAGAACAGCCGAACATTGTTAAGAGTGTCAAAGACGGGGGTTGTAAATTCCTATAGTAAATAAAAAGAAAAAGATTTCAAGTAGACGCGCAAACCTCTTACAAGTATTTTAAAAGAGGCAGGTGTCAATGTTAAAGAAACACGGATTATAAAAGATTACATAATAGTGTCTTGAAGATAGGGCCAGCTGTAAATGATGTCAAGAGAAGAAAAAAGGCTTTCTGACAGGTAGGTAAACGACTATTGGCTATTGAAAAGTCCGTTTGACTTTAAATACAAAAGAAACAGCCGATAGTCTACTAGTATCTTCCCCATCATAGTCGACGGTGAACAACAATACGGTAATATGATTGGAAGGAGTAGCTTGGACACTATGAATAGTCCCGTTTCATCTTGTGAAGATCAGGACGACGGTATCAATTTCGAATTGGAGGATTCGCAAGGGTCCGTTGAGGAACGAATAAGCGGGATGATGACAATTTTCGATAGTTTCCAAGCGAATTTAAAGCAAATTGAGCAGCTGGGAGAAATTAGAGTAAAGAAAGCAGTTGAAGATTTATTGGAAAGGGAGCAGCAAACTGAGAGGGCAATAGCGAGTATTCGTTCAACTGTTGAGGATGAATTGAAAGAGATAAAAGATTCACTGAAACGCTTGGAGAGAATGCTTCAACAATCTTTGAGTAAAGTTCCTGGCTGTAGTGGTTGTTCTCCAGCTCATTCTACTGTAAAGAGGCGACTATCAAAAGTTTATGGTGGAGAAATGCAATACGACGGTAATCCAGACAAGTACGACAGCTTCATTAGGCATTTGAATAACGTCCTTCAAAATCAAGAAGATCGTGACAGGTATGATTATCTTTTGAATTCATGTACAGGTGATGCGAAAGAAATTGTAATGACATGCCGGGATTTTGGTCACAAGGCCTACGATTTAGCGTTAGAAAGTTTAGAAAGTGACGCTGGTAGAAAAGTGAAGAATGTTGAAGATCTCTTTGACGAAGTTGCAACCCTTCCTGTTGTGACGAAGAACATTGAAACATTAACAAAATTGAAGAATTTCGCTAAGAAGACACTTTCTATGCACAACGTCTATAATACACCTTCAACGGAATCTCTAATGACTTTTATGCGTTTAATAATCGATCGTAAATTCTCTGAAACATTAAAGAAATCATTAAACTATAGAAGAACCATTTTGAAGAGTCAAGCCAAAGAGATGAAATTTGAAAATTTTGTTCAATTTCTCGAAGAAGAGGTCCGTGCAAAAAGGATAAACGAATATATTGGTTCCATTCAAATTCGTTCGGCATGGTCTGGTGAAAGATTACCAAAATTGGGAACTATCGTATTATTTGAAGATGAAATTAGTAGCAAAGAAAAGAATTGGTCTTTGGGTAAGATAGTTAACCTACGCAGTCGAGATGGTCACGTAAGAACAATACAAGTAAAGACTGAACGAACAACCATTTGGAAGGATATTAGAAAGGTTATCCCTCTTGATAATTTTCTTAGGGGGAAACGTGTTGGTTCCGACGATTGTTACAACTTTGATTTATGTTTTAAAATGAAATAATTCGATGAAATAATTTAACAAAATCCTAGTCACTAATTAAAATAATTATATATTTCGTAGTTTTAAATGCTTTATTAGGCCTAATCTTTTGCGTTTGTAATTATTAATTGTAATCGTAAGAAGAGAAAGGCAATAATGGTTTCTCTAATTGATTAGTTTTTCTTTTGTTCTATGTTCCTTTGTTCTTTTGTTCTTTTATATAAAAAAAAATAATTTTTTACGAAAATCCTTTTACTAATTCATAAATCGTATTTATACTTCTTACCTAATCTTTCTAAGTAGAGGGTCTTTTTGTCTTATTGGTTATTCAATTGACTTTTAATAGCTTGTCGACGCCATTTTGAATACTGAGATGTTGAGATGTTCGTACTTCATATCGATATGATTGGAGAGATGCTTACTTCCTGTATTCCCTATTACCACTCTTAATAGATTCACACAGTGTTTTTGAAATAGTAAGTGTAGCATTTTCTTACACGTTGATCGTAAATTTTACATCGCGGAAAAATTTCGTTTTTATATCACTTTCTGTCTTGTTAAAGCTATTTTTAATATGAAGATGCTCTAAAGATTTAAAGTGTCTCCATTTATCCTCCATATCTTGCAACGTTTTTGTACTTATTGAAGTATCATTGCAGGAGATAGTTGTTATGCTTTGTGCGTGAGTTGATAATTCATGCAAAAGTTTTAGCATAGCTTTATCACCTATTTGATTGCCCGATACAAACAAGTGTTCTATCACTGAGATAAGACTTGCATTTTCAGCTAATTTCTTAATTTGGCTAGGTTGTATGTCAGAATATTGAATTGATAACTTGCGAATCTTTCCTGATTTTAGTAGATTCAGATTTTCGAATTCTATTGACTTTAGATTTACATAATCTAAGTTTAGATAAAATATATTCTCAAAATCTTTAATAGTCTTCATAAGATCCATGGCATCCATAGAGCTGTCATTGTAAATTAACTGTTGTAATGACTTTTTATTAGATTCTAGAAATGGTAGAGCGTAATAGGATGTCAACTTTGATTCAGTTAGTTTGAATATTCTCATTTGATTCTCTTTGTATTTTGGTACAACATTTAATAGATGGTCAGAGTTTTGAACTCCTCCCAATCCTACCTCTTCCAATTCACTTAAACTGGACAATACTGCGTGAGCAAAATTTAGACTATATAGGTTACCGAATAGATATAATACTTGTAACTTTTTAAAAGTTAGTATCATATGAAGGAATCCATCTCCATCTTTAATATTAATATTACAATTGCTCATATCTAAGGTATTTAAACTAGTACTATTTTCTAAACACATCACAATCTCACTAGAATCTAAGCCTTTGAAATTGTTATTTGAGCAATTAAAGGATTTTAACTGTAACTTTTTACACATATCCTTTACCGTTGGAAAGTCTTCTTTTTGTAATGAACCATTTGAGATATTCAAATGCTTTAGACAATGGAACGTATTTCCGTTATGTAAAATTGATAGTGCTTTACCTTTTTGAACAAAAAACAGAAATATTTAAAAAAAAAATGATAAAAAAATAATCCAAAATGTTACTTACCTAAATATTTGTCATTTGATAGGATAAGTCTTTTTAATTCTCTAAAGAAGCTTTGAGAGAATAGAGTAACTTCATCAGTAATATTACTTGAGATGATTGCCAAACAGCTGACTTCGCCTTTGTAAGATTGAAAATTTGTTCCATCTTCAAATTTGAAAGAAAGGTTTTTTAAGTGTATGCATTTTAACTTTGGATGATCGTTAATAAACTTTATAATATCCAATATTTTCACAACCTCTAGGCAATTGACTAGTTCAAAGTTTGTTAAACTCAGCCTTAAATAGTCTTTTGATTTTTCACAAAAGTTAGTAAAATCTAGGAAAGTATTAATCAAACATAATTCTTTGATATACATTCCGTATCTTTGTAATAAAATGTCTATTATTTCTATAGATAGTGATTCGTTGACTAATTTTAATTTTCCATACGAAGGACCATACATAAGGGCATTTTTTAAAGAGTCACTTATTGTTTTTATCATCTTGAATTTATCTCCATACGTCTTCTCTTTTCCTGAATAAATATCTTTATCGAGTAATTTTATAAATTCCAATACTCTGAGCTTTTTTCTTATGTTTTGCTTTGCAAAATAGTCGTTCACCTCTAGGCAATTGATATGTGATACAATGTATGTGGCCTCGAGAATATCATTCAATATCAGATGAATAAATCGTTTTGTCAAGATTACTCCTTCTTTGCTTGTGCTGTAACGTCGACCAACGACACAAAATAAAGCTGTCCCTTTGCTACAATTGAAATATTCTGATGATTGTATTACTTCGAAAAAGCACCTGTTATCGAATGATTTTTGAAATACTTCTTTACTGTAATTTATTATCAATTCTTCCAGTTCATCTTCACTCAAAGGTGGAATATTATTCCACTTTCTTGAAAATTGAATCAAATTTTTTAATACATTGCCGACATTCCTAAAGTCAATGTTTACTTGATCGTTATGTTGTAGTGCTATTGAGAGAAGAATTGAGGGATGATAGCATAGTTTCATAGGATAATAGAACGGTTCCTTCAACTTTTCAAACAGTTGTCTAGCAAGGTCAGCCGAACATTTTCCATCGTAAGAGCGGCCTTGATATTTGAAGAAATTTTCAAGATAGAGTAGTATACTTGATTCGTCGAATCCTTGAATTTGTAGTTCAATATTGTAATGCTGGCGAATTTCTAATGATTTATCATCTCTACACCATACCACTAAAGGAATTGAGCTAATCTTATTATAAACAAGGTCCCTAAGCTCCGGATTATTATCGAGTGTTCCATTGACACCATCTAGAAGTATGACAAACTTTTTGCCAAATATGTTACACTTCGGATCTAAGAATGATTTAATAAGCGAAATTCTTTCTTCAGTAGGAGATTCTTCGCTGTAAATTTGGTATAAGATTTCATCGATAATAGTCTTTTTCTTTATTCTATTACAGTCCAGAGGTAAAACAATACAATCTTGTAGAATATCTTGTGCTACGACATGACGATATATTAGATATCTCCAATGACAAGTCTTCCCAATGCCACTTGAACCACTGATTAGTGTTCTCTTCTTGTCTTCGTGAAATAGATCAACATAATGCATTTTGTCTTTAAAATATTGCTCAATAACATCTTTCTCTTTTTGAATCAAAATCAAAGGGCAATAGACTTTCTCTATATCAATCTCAATTACCGAATCTCCTGGGATGAAGCGTTGTTGAAGAAAGCTATTTTTACATTTCTCTTTAAGTTTTTCCTTAAGGATAGCTGGAGTGGTTCTTAGCGTACTAGCAATTGCAAGTGAAGATACAGTCCCTGTTTTTTCCATTAACTGGATAAGACTTTGAATATCCATATCCATTAGATTATTTATAATCAATTCTGGATCTACATATCTGTCTGACTCGTAATGCTTATTCATACCACACGCTCCCATATTTTGTTGTAGTTGAAGGATCTCATCTCTATTCCTTGCAGTTGAATTTACTAATCGTCTCACTTGCTCTTTCACTAACTGCAAAATTGCATGCATAATTGTAAATTTTCAATAAAAATTTTTTCGATTCCAATTGTAGATTCGATAGAATCTATTCATCGTTCTTCTTTTTTTCAACATTAAATATAGTTAAATTAAATATTATATCTTAATTTAATCCATTTTTATAGAACATAAAAATTAATAATAATGGCGTATCTTAGACAACAATTATAATTTTTAACCACTTATAAAACCATTCCATTGTGTGTTTATGAATTGATAGAGGCGCCGCCATATTAAAATTTTATCTACGTGTTTAAGCAGTATTATAATGAATTCAAAACAACTTCTCTCTTTTAATTTTCACGATGAACATATACAGGAAATTCTTAATAAACGTAGCCTTCGTAATCAACTCAAAGAGCTTTTAATCTATTATGGATTTAATTCTAAATCTTATGATTCTACAGAATGTTTAATGGAAACATTAAGTCAACTTCCATTAGATACTCTTGTATATTTATTCAAAAATTTAAAAGATCCAACAGCAAAAGTCCTCTCGAAAATTCTTAATGATTACGATAATATATGGAATAAAATGGTACAATCGTCAAAGGAAGGTAGGTATCAAGAATTCATTACTAGAAGTGAACTGGAATTTAGAACAAGAGCGATAAATGGGATGTTCTACAATTTTACTAATTCTTTAAAAATATCGTGGCTTCAAGATGAAAAATTTCAAGTGGATAATATTAATTATGATAATTTTCATCATATATTTCACACAAATTGTAATAAGATTTTAATACAAGGAAATGCGGGAATTGGAAAGACTGTTCATACGAAACAGTTGATAAACTCGTGGATGCAGGATAAATGGATAGAAAACGAAAGTATATTGTTACTACATGTTGTTTTGAGTAAAGTAAATAAAGATAATGATATGTACGATGAAATTGTACGCCAAAATTTTAAGAATATTAAAATTCCATACGTAACAAGAGATATTATTCAATTATTGTTCCAAGAGAGGAGTAAAAATGTAATATTGTTGCTGGATGGAGCGGATGAATTCGATCTAAATGGGCATCAGTTTAATGAATTAATAGAAAATAGATGCCCTGTTCGCACGGTAATATGGAGTAGGAAACGGAAAGCTGCTCAAATTATGCGTTCTTGCGATATTTGCTTTGAATTAATTGGATTAAATAGTCAACAAATGAAGATATTTTTTCTGGATCTCTGTCGCAATGATACAAGAATTTATCAAAACTTCGAAAACAATATGGCGCGGTCTGATAAATGCGTTGCAGATCTCTGTAAAATTCCATTGATGGCTACGTTAATATTTTCAATATGGAGAGAAACAGAAGAGTCTCTACCAAATTTATTTTGTATCTATGATAATATCGTTAACATTATCATAGAGAGAAATAATTATCGGAGAGAGCAGAAATATATTTCTTTAAAAAAATTTTCAAAAATATGCTTTCAGAAATTATTGAAAAATGAGACTATTTACTTAAAAAAGGAAGAAATCGATGATATTGAAGCTGATTTGAAAGGTTTAGTACATATATCATCACCTACGCCAACTACTAATGAATTTGAATTTATTCATTCGAGTTTTTTAGAATTTTTTGCAGCAAAATACATCATTAAAATGATGTATAATATGAAGGAATCTATTTTTAAAGGTTATAAAGGAGGGATAAAGATAAGACTTTTAGAAGAGCTGTCGCAGAGAGATGAAAATCATTTTTATCATACAATGGATTTTATAAAAGGATATTCAACGTTACTTTTTAGAAAGATTAGCAATAAATCTAAAATATTATTGGAACATTATAATTTTAGTAAAAATATAAGAATGCTATTGGAGAAAAAGATTACTCCTAGTACAGGATTAAGATTGGAGAATGAAGAGATAAGTAATCCAAAATTGGCTTATCTAATCGAAAGAACCGTCAGAAACTTGGAGATATTGGATATATTTGATACGAAAATCGATTACATGGTTTTATTTGAATTGTTATCGAAATACGCTTTAAATCTGATTTGTATTAATATTAACGTCTACCCTCAATTTTCAATTTACGAATGTTCCTTTCTGGAAACTGTTCTAAAGATGATAGCATCTACGCAACTTAAACAATTGAATCTAGGAAAGAATAGATTCCTTATTAAACGTAGTAAGAAACCATTAAAACCGTCTGTTATTGAAAAGTTAATTATATCGAATGGAAAGTATTCAAAGGAATATCTTTTTGAAGTGATTTTCGGTTCAAAATCATTGAAATGTATTATTGATAGAGTCAACTATTGCTATAACAAAAAGGAGATGAATAGTTTCTTTACCTTCCTAAGGAAAAGTAATTCATTAACCTCATTAATTATTGAGAATAAGAGGATTGATATATTCATTTTCTTTCGTTTTTTCAATTTTAAAAAAGAAAGAAAAGCTATAAAATTATTATCATTTCGAAATTGTACAATCGACAAACCCAATCAACAACTGTTCTACGATTGTAGTAAATACGTTAATCCTCTATTGGAAGACAAACATACGAATGAATTACAAACAAATATGCAGTGTAAAAATGATAAGAATATTGTTAATTTGCATATTAACAATATTGATAATAGTTTAATCTATTTGCTTAATCCTAACGATAGTTGGTGGTTTTATAATGAAAAGTTTGACGATTCAGATGTGAAGATTATATTCGATTCAAAAGGATTAACTGCATTTTTAGAGGCTGTTAGACAAAACTATATTATATTTACTCATTTATCCTCACTAATCTTCAAGTGTATGAAGAAAACTGCAATAGATATTAATAAATGCCTGGAACATTGTACAAACATTACATCCGTTAATCTATCTTCAATCGATGATGAACAAGATGATTATAATGATTTATTCATTTTACTAAATCATTCAAAATTAAAAATAACTGATATAAAAGTTGGAAAAAAGTTTCTAAAAGAAGAAAAGCGAACATCTTTATTTGTGAATTTTATTGATAATTGTCCAAATATTAAATATATTGATATAGAAGGTAATGGAATATCAAAGACTGAATTTCAAAAGATTTGTATCGCTTTAAAGAAATCAGCAGATTATCTTAAAAGTATTGAATTGTCGAATTTTTACCTAACAGAATCGGATGATAATCATCTAGGTTGTCTAATACAAGAATGTAAAAGTTTAGAAATTGTTAAATTCAGTTTAAATACTGAAAGAATTGAAATTTTTGAATTTATTTCATCGTTAAAGTCTTGTTCTGAGAATTTAAGAGAGATTATTATTTTTGAATGTACTCTAACGGATAAAGCATTATATTCCCTTTTCTCAATAATTCTATGCTGTAAATCACTGGAATATCTCTATATTCCTAGAAGTGATCCCTGTCAATGTTTTTCCATATTTTTGAAAAAAAATAATCATCTACTCTACGATTTCGATAGATGTAACGATATAAGATTAATATTAAAAGTACAAGTAATATTGGAGATACTCTTCGATCATTTCTCAAGATTACAGACACTCTTTCTAAGTGATACAATGTATTGTAACGATTTAATTAATAATGATGATGATGACGATGATAATGGAAAAAATCTACAAAACTTCTTTGATCGAATACTATTAGAGAAATTTAAGAAAATAACAAAAAAAGAGGATAATCTTATTGAAAAGATGAAAAATAATAGAATAGAACAAGAAAATTACATATTTATTCAAAGCTGTATCGTTACCAAAGATTTAATAACCGGATGTAATCTAATACAAGTAAACGTTGATCCAGGATATTTAGGAAACTATCCGAATTGTATTAGTAATTGGTTTTTAGATTATTTAGCAAAGTTGAATAACATTGAAACGCTTACGATTACTAATAACTTATTAGGAATGGATGTATGTAATAGATTCTTTAAAGTTATTTTACAGAAGAGAAATGATAATAAATTGAAAAATGTCTATTTGGAAAATTGTATTATTGAAAATCCTGATAAGAATTTCTTTTGGAATTGTTTCTTAAATATTTCATCAAAAAATTTTCATAAATACGAAACTGATAAGATGCAAGAAAATAAAATATCTTTGAACATTATAGATATTATTCTAGATGAGAACAAACATTTAAATTTTCTACTAAATATGAAAACTATACAAACTAGTTTACATAAAAACTATAAGAAAAGTATAAATATTGATTCGGATATTAATAATATTCAAAATTTAGAAGATGCCATTAAAAAGAACCTAATCGAAATGGGGCATTTACAAATTTATCTACCTAGAATTGTTAATGTTTTGTATACGGATAGAATTCTAGAACTTTTAAGAATATCTAGCCAAAGTGTTAGATTTTTAAATCTTTCACATAATCTTCAATATCAGACTATTGATAAGATGAGTTGGGAAATGCTTAAAAATTGTAATAAATTGGAAACAATTCAAATTAAGGATATAGATGTATCTTCAATTCTCAATTATCTCTCAGCCGCTATCTACTCTTCTTCAAAAACTCTTCGAACTATAACAATAGAGGATTGTTGTTTAGCAAATGGAAATGTTAAATTTTTAGGATTACCGATAATGGCTTGCAATTCTATTGAAGTATTCAATCTAAATGGTAATAAATTCATGATGAATGATGGTTTTAATTCATTATGCTCCGGATTAAAGAATTCATCACATTCAATAAAGAGTATATCCCTAAGAGATTGTAACCTACAAGAAGAACAGGGACTTTGTTTAGGAGATCTTTTGAAAAATTGTAACACTCTTGAAATAATTGACTTATCATGGAATTTAAAATTAAACCAAGTATTTTATAATCTTTGTGAAGGATTACGCTCTTCGTCATATTTAGAAAGTATTAATCTAACAAATTGTAATATAAATAGGAAATCTGCAATAGCTATTGCAAATCTATTGGAGAATTGTACCAATTTATTAGAAATCAATCTATCGGAGAATAAATGTATGGAAGATGGATTTGGAATGATATGCCAAAGTTTAAAATCCAATTTAAACCTTCAAAATTTAATGTTAAATTGTTGTGTTTTGAACGAAATACAAGCAAAACAATTAGGAATTTCGTTAGGAAATCTATCAAAGATAAGAGCAATTAGTCTGGCAAGTAATAGAAAGATGAAAGATGGGTTGAAAGATATCTTCAAAGGATTAGAATCTTCTTGTAAAACTCTTCAACTTGTGAATTTTAACCATTGCGAGTTAACTACAGAACAAGGAAGACTACTTGGAAGTCTATTAAGATTATGTAATAATATTCAATCTGTGTTCATTTCCCAAAATCAAAATACTGACCTTGGCCTTTACGATGTATTTAAAAGTTTACACAATTCCAGTCAAACTCTAACGCAATTAGATTTAAGCAATTGTTCATTGAGCGTAGAACAAATTGGTCAATTGGGTAAATTTATTGAAAATTCCAAGAAATTAGAATATTTAAATCTGACGAGTAATAAGAATATGCAAACTGGATTTGAATTTATATATAACGGATTAAAATCATCTGTAAACAGTCTTAAAATTCTTGATGTTGGTAATTGTTCTTTGAATGAAAAACAGGCTATATTGTTGGGAAAATTATTAAAACTCTTAATTAATTTAGAAGAATTAAACTTATCTTGGAATACACGTATGGGAAATTGGTATCAGGGAGTGGATGGTGGATTAAGATCTTGTACTCCGCGTATTAAATGCATACACCTTGGACGTTGCGATTTAGGTGAGGAACAAGCTACCGGGATTGGAAGAATATTGAATAAATGTACAACTTTGGAATCAATAAATCTTACATGGAATACTGAAATGGGTCATGGTTTTAAATCTATATGCAATTCTATGACTCAATCATCTAAAAGTTTAAAAATGCTACTGTTAAGTAATTGTAATCTAAATGAAATTCATTCAAAATATCTTGCCTATTCTCTGCAAGAATCCAATCTTGAAAATTTAGATCTGTCGCATAATACGGATATAGGACATGGATTTAAATATATCTTCTCCAGTTTATCATTGTCTTGTTCCTTTCTACAAAAGTTAAGTCTTCGAAAATGCAATTTAAAAGAGGTTGAAACGAAATATCTTGGAAATTTTCTTAAAAAAGCAACCAGTTTAAGGAAGTTGGATTTATTTGGAAATACAGAAATGGGTAATGGATTCTTATCAGTTTGCGAAGGATTAAAACATAGTTGTATACTGAAGAAATTGAATGTTGGCTGCTGTTCGTTAACAGATGTACAAGGAAAATATCTAAGAGAAGCTATTAAATCATTAACATTGATATGGTTTGAAGATCAAAAAATAATTCCTGTAAACAATTAAAAGAAGAGAATAATAGACAAATATTGAACACTTATTTTAAAATCACTATAACTCCTTCTTTATAAATATGCATTTATTTTTCTTTAATATCTCATTCAATATTCCGGAACTGAGATTTAAATTCTTTAATTCTAAATCTATTAAACTGTTTGATTATTGTATTGGCACACAAAACGGCACGAGTGAAACGCTATAAATGATTTTGTTTATAGAATTGAAAATGCTTACTTTTTTTATCATCTCCACAACAGAGACAACAACTTCCAGCATAATATCTTAAAGATTACATAGTCTTGTAATTTTCTTCTTTATTATCAAAGCTTATCTTCCGGATGATCAGTTATTTTCTAATCTTTTATTTAATAAAATTATCCAAGAAAGCGTCATAAAAAATTTTTAATTAGGTTTCCATCTAATTATTATCTATTTTTTTGAAAAGGAACAGGCAGTGTGCCAGACAGTTTTTATTGTCCTAGAAAGCAGCAAAAGAATATTTCTCAATAATTAACTTGTAAAGTTATTATTATAGTTTAATAACTAAAATTTACTTACAAAAAAATACACGTTTCCTGTTCACCAATTTCATTCTTAAATCCATTTGGAAAGGTTTCAAACTTTTAACTATTTTCATTCATTGGGTTAGAGTTCCTCATTTTCTCAACTCTATTGGTCGATATAATCTCTTTCGAAAGGAATACGAATCATTTCTTGTCTTTTATTTTTATTTAAAAAAAAAGTAAAAAAGAATAAGCCGAAAAAGTTCTTCTTCTTATTATTCTTTTTCTTCTCCCTCAATTAAAGAGAAGATTAAGTTACTTTTTTTTAATATGTCCAAAAAATTTCTGTACGATTATCACTCCTTTTCTTAATATTATATTGAATTTGATTTCTCAAAATAATGCAAACTAATGCAAATCCTATTTATGTATGTTTTACTTAATCTATAAAAAAAACTGTTAAATATTATTATTATTTTTTAAAAGTTTTATCTATTAATATTGAAATTTTATTAAATTATTAAATGCTTTCTGGTCATTTTCTGTTATTTTACGAAAAAAGAAATACATCATTGTTATTGTTTACACTGAGCGATAATGCCCATTATTATTTCAAACAACGATATCAAGCATAATACATTAGACAAAGATTTAGAAAGGTAATGAAATAAACAAACTGTGATAGGAAAAAGTAAAATTTCAATAATTTTGAATTTAATAGTTTTTTATTCTATGAAACAAGTTTATAAACAAGTTTATTATTCAAAAATCGTCTGAAGAAGAGTTCTATTTATATAAATAACAATATATTAAAAATAATACAAATATAGATAGATCATTTGATATTAAATAAATTGTTTTTAATTTTTCCATTGAAATTATTGACAAATAAACATAATAACAAAATGATAAAATACTCGACACCTTGTATGAATCCCAGATGGTCTAGGGGTTAGGATTCCCGGCTTTCACCCGGGCGGCCCGGGTTCGATTCCCGGTCTGGGAGATATAATTTTTTTTCTTTATTTACGCTATAAAAGATAAGATAAAAATTTAATTTTTTGAACAAAGTTATACATGTATTATATTTTTTTAAATAATCGAAAAAATTTTATTGACCTTGACCTGACTAATCCTTTCTCTCTTATAGAAATCTTTTAATCGTCAAAGCTTGTTAATCCTAATCTCGAAAAAAAATATCGTAATAAAGAGATCAAAAAAAAGTACAGAGGGGGCACCCGGATTTGAACCAGGGACCTCTCGATCTGCAGTCGAATGCTCTGCCACTGAGCTATACCCCCGATGACGAAAGATTGTCAACGATAAGCTCTGTTGTTCAAAGACTGTTGTTCAAAACTATTAACAGTTGAACAGTTTTGGTTAGTTAATAATAAAGAATTATATTATCTAAATAATAGAATAAGCGAAATTTTCGATAATTTCGATAATTTACTTTTTTAGTTTTTGTATATGTTCTATAATTTATATATACATATTGTGTATATTTAATGAATATGTAAGTATTGAATAACAGTATAATAGAGATAGATACACAATATATTCTACTATTATGATACGAGTCTAAAATATTCATATTCATATTCTTTATATAATAATTGATACAATTCAAATTTCGTTCGGTAATGATGTAAAAACTGAAATTATTTGCGTATTACTGTATAATCCCAGATGGTCTAGGGGTTAGGATTCCCGGCTTTCACCCGGGCGGCCCGGGTTCGATTCCCGGTCTGGGAGATTATTTTTTTTTCTTTTAATATTTTTTTAATTATATCTATTATTTTTAACGTTAAGATCAAAAAGTAAAAAAATATACAGAGGGGGCACCCGGATTTGAACCAGGGACCTCTCGATCTGCAGTCGAATGCTCTGCCACTGAGCTATACCCCCGTTACATTTAAAATTATTCAAGTTGTAAGAAACAAGCAAGCTTTAGTGTATAAAGTAATAAAATAGGCTACAATACCAAAATAAACAACGAATACACAAACGACGATATTTATGAATATTCATTAGTAACGTCGAACACCTATTATATTACTATTAGAGTTTAACTGAATTTGACGGCGGCATCGATTTTCAACACAAAAAAATGTTATCTTATTCAAACGATAATAGATTTTCGTACGGAAAGTTCTTTGAAAGATAAGATAGATAAAGCAATGCGAACAGTTATTCACAAGAAAAAATTTCATAAGTATGTCATTTGAAATAATAACATAAATTGACGATATAGTTGTCGGTATCCAAGAAAGAATAAGAATAAATGTTGTACCAAAGAGCATAAAACCAATATTTATTTGTTTCTTCTTTTCGGATAAATCTAAATTTCTTTTCTTACATTTTCTTAATTTTTTAATTAAAGTTCTAAAGATTTGTATATAAGTTCCGATTTCAAAGAGAAATATAATCCCTATAGAAACTGCACTCGATAGTTTATTAAACGATGATCTATCTTCAATCGTATCTCTATAACAAGTAAAATTGAACGTTTTCGTAGGATTACGTAAATCTTGCGAATAGTATAATAGATTAACTACAATAGACATTATTAAATTAGAAAATATTAAAAGAAATATATGCTTTTTCCTTAAAAAGTATGGTTTGTAAGTTGCAAACCATCTTTCCAATACAACACTTACACTTGTAAATAAACCAAAACTTACTATAATTGATGATAACCATAATAATATTTGACAAAAGTATACTTTCTTATAGAAGTTTTCCAATAGAAATAGAGGTATACAAACAAGACAAACAGTTAAATCTACGTAGGCTAGTACTTTTACAAATATATTTGCTAATAGTACGTTTTTCATACGAAAAGGATAAAAAAATATTATCATCATATTAGAAATTACGCCTATAATATAACAAGAAGATAAAAATACAAGATAACCAATCATATTATCCGCTAGAAGGTATCTAATAGTTTTTTTTTTATATATATACGTCATATTTATATATTCTTACGAAAATAGATTTGCATATTTTGCATAAGTAGTTCTTTTTTATAGAAAATTTCATTAAATAAGATAGCTTTCTTCTTTTCAAATTATGTTACTTACATCATTTGTTGTTTATTTAAGTTTACTTTATTTAAATACTTATAAGAGAGATATAAATATATTTTCATTCTATTTAATTCTATTCTTCAAAATTTTCAAAAGAAAAAAAAAGCGAGAAATAAGAACGAAAGAGTTCATCTCCTTGGTTCACCTTCAGACTGATTATAAATAGTATAAATCGAATGAATAGATGAAATTATGTTTGTTCTTCTTCTTTTTTTTTCACAATAGTGTAACATATATTGTAGATGCTTAGAGAGAGATCAAGGTAAAAGGGAGAAGACTAACACCTTTTTGTCACATCTGAATAAAGGTTGAATGGTTAAACAACAGCTCAAAGGCTTAAATTCGTTTTCTAATAAAATATTGCCGCCATTTTTTTTTTATAAATGTTTTACTTTTTCTAATATTTTTATACATTCGAATAAATTCGTCTTTAAGGAGGGATATCGTCTTTAGAGACATACTCTTAAGAACACAGTAACACGCTATTGAAATTATTAAAGCAGATTTTCTCTTTTAAAAGAAGTAAACGACAGTTTCTAAAGTATTCTAAAGTATGAAGCTTTTAATAATGATCAGAAACCGATAATCTATTAAAATAATCTATAACATTTACAATACGTTTGATTTCACATTGATTAACGTTTTTAGCTTTAACCTTTTATCTTGTGATTAGAAGAGATAAAGATAAATTTAAATACCAAAACTTACCCTTTCGTCCAGTGTACAATAATATTTGATGTTAAATGTTTCCAATCTTATCTAATGAATCAAAAAATTAACTGAAAATATTGATTATTAATTAGCAATATATCTATATATCAAAGAATTGAGAGTGATGCAATATTGAACCTTTTTTTAGCAGTTTTATTAATTTTTTAGCGAATGGTCGAGGACGATAACAGAGAAAGAATATTTGTATTATCGCGCCTTGGAAACATTCTCTGATGAAAACGGGTAGCCTCTTTTTGGCATGCGCATCCATTACTGAGCAAATATCGCGGCGCGGCGTCAAGAAGCAAAGCTTTGAAGGCGTAATGAAAGAAGAAAAGTTAGATGATAAAGTAAAGGATATCGTTGAATCCTTACAAACAATCGACGATAGAGACAGAAACACAAATCTTGATACTTTATTCAAAATAGAAAGTAAGTTAATAAGCGACAACTTAAAGTTTCATAAAATTCAATTTTGCCACTGTTTATTCAAAAAATAGAACAGGATTTAATTTTCTTCAACTGCCCAAATGATGAGTTTAATTTTCAAGATCAGAATTCAGATGATACAACATCCATTTTAAGGAACTACTCAATTTCCTTAGCAAACTCTTTAACACCGAATAACAACATACAAGACGATATTGAAAATGTTCCGAATTCTCAACAGAATGAGGAGACTGTCCCTAATAGGTCAATGCTTATTTAAATATTAATAGAATGATGTTATTAATTTCAAAAAATTAAAATCCTCTATATACATCAATAGGGAACGGAGAAGAATGTCATATAAAAACATACTAGTCTCCTCTGATTCATCATCAATAACTGATAGTTTGGATTGTAGTGTTACGTCACCAGATAGCGGGGTCAATACCCCCGTATTGTCTACTACTACTACTTCTACCTGCCGAACTATTTCATCTCTAAGGATGAATTCTCCAAAAGAAAAGAAATCTAAACGTAGGAAGAGAAAGATGGTTTCTAAGGGAAAAAGACTTGAAAAAAGAATCCAAAAATCGGCATCGTCTGTTCTGAAAGACGTCAAAATAGTTTCCGAGTCGAAAGCTAAGATTAAATACAATAAATCAAAGGAATCTAGTCAATCGAAAAGAAAATATATAAGAAAGAAAAGAGAGAAAGACTCAAGTTCATTAGGATCGCAGGATAATTTAACTGTTAAATCTTCCTCTACCTTAGCAAAATACCTGAATCGGGCAAAGAGAAACACCATAAATAAAGATAAGAATTCAAGATTACGTAGTCATTCCAAATTGATATCAGCTAGTTCAAAGTCAATAAGACCTAAACTTAAACGAAAGCGTAATAGTACAGCAGATAGGGATATTGTGGAACAGGGAGCTTTAGCATACACACTCAATTATAAAGGTGAAACCAAAAGACTACGAGGAGGATATTTACTTAGAAAGAGAGCTTTATCACTAAAAGAACTTGGATTTGAAAATATTCTACAAAACTTTCCAAAGTCCAAAAGGAAAAGGAAGAACAATATTACTAATAGACAATTATCTAAAGAATCCAGCTCATTAGGTCAAGCATCCTCCGTGAATTTGATTGATAAGAGTCTGGGTAATGATACAACTACTACTGCATTCGATGAACATTCAACTTTGGCATCTTTATCATCAAATTGCGAAGAGACTCTGGAAAGAAATAGTATAATTCAGAAAGAGAAGTCTAGAGAAGAATTATCCAATAGCTGTCAACCTAGTACTGCCAACGAATGAATAAGTATCGTGGTCCTTAAACAAATTGATGAAAATTCCAAATTGTTTGAAGCGGCTTTACTACAACAAACTGGAGGAAAATTCGTAGCAGAACCGTGGAACGAGAAGTCATCTTACTATCAAACTGTTCCCATTAATAAAAATAATATACGCCTATGCGAAGTTGCATTCCTTAGACCGAAAGAGAAGAAAACTCTAAAACGAGCAGGAGGCGAAGAAGACGACGACACATCGACAAACCACTATATCAGATGCCATATGGATCAATATCAACAAAAGATAATAGCTCTAAAACACTCTATTATTAATAGAGAATCGGATAAACAGAATGAAAATACTAAAGATGATAAAATGTTATATGAAGCTATCTTCTTCGAATCTCAAAATAGATGCGAAGAAATTGTAACAAATGTAGAGTTGACTACATCTATAGACAATAAAGATTTTTATGGAGTTGTTGTCCTCAGACCTTCTTCCGCTGTTAGAATGGAAAATGAAATAGAATCTCCTACGGATGAACTATTCGACTATTTTCATTCTCATTTTCACAGTTCAGTTAAAAAAAATATACAAGATATTGTAATTTTGTTACCTAAGACTGTGAAACAAGGGAATATTGTTGAAAATGACGCAGAGTTGAATCGTCTACTCATTTAAAATATGGCTCTTTCGAAGTTCTAATGAAAAGGCAAACAAATTCATTATTTAGATTATTATTGTTATTGTTATTTACATACAAACACACTCTCTCTCTCTAGTGAGGAATAAGGAATGGCAAGATACTAGAAACAAAAGATTAATCATTTCTGTTAATATTATTCAAATATTGCTTCAATTCAGTCAAAGACTAGAATGCAGATGATTGTAACTCCTACGAAGAAGACAAGATCACTTTCCTTTTGTTGTTTTTGTGAATAGGGAACTTTTAAGATATTTTATGCTACTTAAATCTTGATCATATATATATGTATATATATATATATATATATATATATATATATGTTTAAATAAATACAAAGATTCCAAGAATAGATACTGTAATAAACCTTATTCAATCAAAAGTAACATTCTTTTTGCGTTATCTTGAACAAATTAGTTTGTAAAATACAAAGAAAGATGTGTGCTTGAGGATTAATCATCATAATTGCGATCACGAACATACGGTTCCATCGTTGATTCGACAATACGTTTCATTTCATCCATAGATTTTTCTAATCTTTTCAATAAATTGCTGCAGATTGCCTTAAATTCATCGGGAACAAAACTCTTGGAGAAGTTTTTCGACTTGACAATATCATTCAAAGATTTAAATTCACATTTTTCACGTTTTATGAATAAATCGAAATACATATGGACACTTTGAAAGTGAATAATATGAGCCTGTGTTTCGTCAGGCGAAAGTATTTCGGGAATAGTTGGAATATTATCATCATCTGATTCATTATCTGAATTGGAAGAGCTAGCCAATTCGATTGGAGGCGGTGCACATTGCCTTCTTTCAATAATCCTAACAGTATTCTTTTTTAAGGGAAAGTAAGCCACTCTTGGTTGCGGTGAAACAGTTGCAGTTTTCAAAGTAGGCTTAATCTCACTGCTTGCAGGCGATACTTCAATAGTAGGTTGTTGTACATCATTCAACTCCGACTCATCTTCCGTCTTAGACACTTGCTTCTTTCTTCTTTTCAATCTAGGAACCTTTATATCGATCTTTGGGGGAGGCATCAAATCTTCCTCTCGGCATTTCTTTGGTAGGATAGCTTTAAACATAACCAGTTTCGTTCTCTGTTGAGAGTAGGAAAAATGAATTAATCTTTACGATATTAAAAAGAAAGAAATATGAGAATATATTTATAAGAATAGTTTAGAAGATGAAATGATTAAATGTCAAACTGAGTCTAATTAATATTAAATCCCTAGTTGCTGAGCGAAAAATTTATCTATTAAGATTTTCTGCGGAATAAGACGATTAAAGATTAATTAATTTACTTAATATAGAGTTAATATGTTTAAGATTAATATTCAATTGACCTTAATTTGCAAAGAAGATGCACAAAGACGCTTTTTTAAGATACTTATCAAGTAGAACACCGACGACTTTCAGCTGTGACGTCAAAGAGGAAATAGAATTAATCGACATTGTCGTATTTTATAAAATTTTTTATAATTAATCCATCAATATATAACCGAATTAATTAATTTAACTCTTGGTATGATAATCAAGAATTTTATGATTTTTTTGCAAAAATCGATTAGTTTTGCGATTATTTTCTATTCGATATATTTCTTTATTTTTAATACAAAAAAAAATATAATTCTAATCGATTTAAGTGTTTCGTCGATTAAATATAGAAAGTTATTTTCTTATATACAGTTTATATGTCTACTAGATATAGACTGTAGATGGCGATATTATCTTTATTAAATAAAAGATTATCGTATAATCTATTGTATTTATATCTAATATTCAGGGCGAAAGAATTAAATAAGGATAGAATAGGTTGAAGAGATTCACTCTAAAGCAAATGACAAGACCATATCCGTACGGGATAGATGACATTTATACGTTTAATTAAACCAATTAATCAACTAATTGTCGTCAATTAATTGATCTCTATATTATTACCTTTAGCAAATTAATCCTACGGATTAACACCGACGTTACTAAAGAAACGTCAACGACTAGCTTTCTTTCTTAGAAGCATTACGACACGTCCACTCTGGTATTACGCTTGTATTAATATATAAACGTATATAAGTATATATATATATATATATATATATATATATATATATATATACTGTATGAATTTATACAATATATATAAATATATACTTATATACTGTATATATAAAAAAAACGCAACATTGAGCGGCGTCACTAGACGCTTTTATTGTTCTTTTTAATTTTTCACCCGGATGATTGCCATATCGTTTACATATAGAAATGGCCATCACCATCGGGTAATTAAACAATATAAAAGTCCAATTAATTGAACAAAAATCTCAGAGATGAGACACTTTTGCGTTTATTTGCATATTGCGATACGGCTTAATGATAAACACGAAAATTGCGTCATATTTCATAGTTAATCCAACAAATGAATACAATTTCAAATAGTTCAAGTGTATTAGACAAAGATTAACAAGCTATTAACGAAGATAATATAAACTTTAATTAATCTTAACAACAAAAGGCGTTAATACAAAAGAAACTTTTTATATTAAATTATCGTCGTCGTCGTTGTCATTCTCCATCCTCTGCTCTTGTCTTTCATTCATCATGTTATCTTCAATTTCGTCGTCTAGCGACAGGCTATCGGATGCGTCATTCTTGTTTAATGTAGTTTGGGTAAACATTTCGGATTCGTTCGCAGTCGATTTTCCTTTTGTCGACTTTTTACCTTTCTTATTCAATCTTGCCATTGCAAGGAATGTTGGCTTATTAAAGATTCTAAAGCCAGGGAAATGGAGTTGAAGCCTAGGCGAAAGCGGCTTTCTCCTATTCTTTTTCTCTTGATAGCTACTAATAACCGCCTCCTTTCGCTTTTTCTTCTCCTCCTTCTCCGCTTGCTCTTTGGCAATTATCGCCTCTCTCGCCTCCGTACTCATCTCCTCCTGCGGTTCTTGTTCCATAATTGTAGAGTTAGTTGAACAACTATCAAGACTTCCTCCCTCCAACTTAACAACAGGTGACGAATCCTTAGGAAACGTCCACTTTCCCGCCAACATAATTGGACTATCGACGTGCGGTTTAGGTCTTGAAAAGCTATTATTTGTTGGACACGACGCAATCGATTCTGCCACCAACTGCTCTATATCAGATTCTACCTTCTTCTCCGAAACATTTAACGACAACTCCTTATTCTGCAACCGCCTCTGCCTCTCGTTTAGTTCTTTCATTATAGCTCTTCCTCTAGAACTCGGTCTCTCCTTTTTGTCCATGCTACCTAGAAGAATAAACAACTAACTACATATCACTACCATAAGACCAGATTATCGGGCTTATCCCGTTTAATATACAATATATTAATACGTTTGTTATCTATCTATACATTATGGCTGACAAACAAAGAAAAATCAAGAAAATAAGCAAACAACTTACAATTGAAAGAATTTCTCAGTGCGCCTGTTTACGGCTATAAATCAAATGACCGAACAATGTCATTCGATTTGCGAAGTTAATTGGTAATTTAACATCACGTGATTAATTAGTCTCATAAATGTGCTATAATCTATTTTGGAAATACTCGTCCTTTTTCTAAGTTATGATGGTAAAGAGAAAAACAATTTTAAGCAACTAGGACGTTCTGTAGAAGTCCTACAACATATAGGGTTAAGTTGGACGATGTTTTTTAAGGATACACTATCTTAAATTCTTACTTTTTTATGGAAAATAAAATATACTATATAACACTTTAATGTCATAGTTTCGGTATATTAAATATTTGATTGACTTCAAAAAAAAGGGAAAAAAAATAAGCTCAATAAGAAAAAGAATTTTTTTCAAACGTGTTTTTGTCATTTTTTTAAAGCCTCTTTCGATTAGTTAAACGACTTCTTTGCTTTCCATATCGTCACCATCATTTTCTTTGTTATTAGAATTGACGTCCAACTCATCGGATAAGTCCATCTGATCAACATCTAAACATTTCTTCTTCTTTATTACAGCCTCGACAACATCATCAGTTATACGTCTCTTTATAGTATCAAATTCTTCGCTATTACAGCTTTCAATCATGGACGAGTACGATTCAGGAACAGCAACTACGGCGTCGATAGCTATATTGATATTTAAAGGAAAAGAGTAAGTATCTTGTTTGTTTATTATTAAGAAAATTGTTAGCTTACCACTTTGGTCGGGAGTATCAAAATCAATTTCACAATCGCCACTGTGATCAGAATGACAGTCGTCAGGATCTTGTACTTCTCCTTGATGTTCAATGCCTGCGCTCTCTCCTAAATCAATTCTCCTAACGGCTGCCTTCATACGAAATGATATTCTGTGGAGGCTTAATTTCAAATCACTCAACTCTTCTTCCCTTTGTTTAAGTCGAACAGATTCTTCGTAGATTTGATCAGATAAGTCGTTCATTCTATCGGTAAGTCTTGAAATATCACTTGCAAGTACTCTTTGGTTTCTTCCCATTCTTCGCAAGACTCTAACAACAGATTCCCGTTGATTCCTGTTCATTTTCGCTGAAGAGTAACCGTTTCCCATTGCTTTCGAGTTGGTATTTTCAAATTTATCTTCAAATAGGATTTAATTAAAGAGAGAAAACAACAATTTTCAATTGAATATGCAACTCTGCACGTGTATAATAACAGAGAAAGATTATGGTACCATTTTCAAGAAACTGGTAATTATTTATGCAACTTCCGGTTGCTTTAGCACGAAATACAAAACACTAACTTTACTAAATTACCGAAAAATTTTTAACTAACAAAAATCAATTCATTTAATAGATTTATAACTTTGAATCATCTCCTAAAATCAGTCTTCAAAAACTTAATAAGATTAATATTATCTTTTGTTTATATCCAAAGACGGAAGCTTATCTACCTCCTATCGATATCACCTCTGTTAGATGTTGATATTGAATTTATTTTTTGGTTAACAGACAAACTAATAGAGGTAATACCTTTCTTGTTAAATATATTTTATTTTACAGGCAGCAGTACATTTTGTTTTGCTCTTCGTTGCCGTATCTATCTATATTTATACTTTTAATAAGATTGACGAATAATCCTAAAACTTATTTAATTTATACGTACTGTATCAACCAAACATTTCTTCCTCCACATTGGCGATAACACTATCATTGTTTCGGATGATATCTTTCAGAATAAAATCAATTGAGTTCCTGCCGTTGGAACAAGACTCACCATCTACTATTCCTTTTATGTTTCCATCCAATAGTCAACTACCAGTGATCTCATTGATTATTTAATTATCAATAATTTAAAATCAGTTTATTTCTTATACTCTACCTATGCATTTTTTAATAAGTTTATTCTAACAAGAACAAAAATCTCAAATTATTCCTTCACATTTTTGTTCAAGAAATTAACGCTACCTATTTCCTTTTGTTATAAGTGAACTTTCAGATAACGATAACCGTTTCATTGCTTTCTATAATACAAAAAAAGAAAAATTTAAATCAATTTATTTGAACTAATTAGAAATAAGCGTTTTTTCTTACCTACAAATAATAGACAGTTCTAATGGAACTGTTTTCTTTCATTCTTTCTTTCGAATGAATAGATTGATTATCTTCTCAATTTGTTTTCTTCATCCTCTTTAACTCTTCGTACATAGTTAGCTTGTATTTGTCGATTAAATGTAAACAATTAAATCTCCAATTTTCGAAGACAAAGAAGTTAAAAGATTCTCATCGTCTCCTTATGACTACTTCCGAAGGTGTAATTTTCCAACGTTAAAGTTCTGTTTAGTTATATTTTAATTGTTAATTAATTAATTAATTAATTGTGTTTCATTTTTAAAATTCTTTTACGTTACCTATACATTTTTGAATAAGTTTTTCCCAGCAAGAATAAAGATCTTCGCTTTCCATTCATCTCTTTATAAAGTCTTCTTTACGAACAGTTTGGAAGTGGCAAAAAATCTGAGTTGCCATTTCATCTTGAAACTCTACAAGTGTCTTTAGTTTCGTTGTACAACGTGGAAAGTGTCAATATTTTACACGCCGTTGTAGCTTGTGACTCTTTTTTTTCTCAATCATAAAATTGAATCTCTTTTCTATTTTCTTTTCGGAGGATTTCATCAAAATTACTTTATTTCGAAATACAGCTTTCTAATTAGCTTCGTTCTTTGTCCAGCAAATATATCTGGGATATCAACTTCTTTCCAAGACTACCGGAACTTCATTAACATGTCTTGTATCACAGTTTTCAAATACATTTCTTTTTTTTCCCTCAGATAAAGAGTATAACTCCACTCGCTTCTCAGCCTTATCACAGCTGTTCACAAGCACCACTATATTGTTTTATTTAAGGAAATGTGGCTTGACGATAGAGCATGTGAATCAAGTCGGCCATTTTAAATGCGTTGAATTTGCGTGACGTAAAGAGTGACGTCATGGATTTACCAACTGGCAGAATTCCGAATAAACTTTTTTGTTTTAGTTACAAAATACAATTTTTAATGTGAAAGAGTTAATGATATTATAAACAAGTCTTATTAACAAAAAAAAATAACTAAATGATTACACTCAAGCGCTAGAAATATGCGTATATTTATCAATAATAATACACGTGTTTTTGGGAAATACTATATATGTTACGTCATTTTAACAAGAAAAAAAATAAAAATAGCGAAGAGAATCGTCGAACAATAAAGATAAAATTCAAAGAATTAGATCAACCGGATAGGTTGAATAGACGAATTCATGACGTCATGTAAGTGAATCAACATAATCTTTGATTAATGTGCCTAAGTTAGATGATAAGACTGGAACAACCCTACCGACCTTTAGACAGCATGTTTAGCCCTTACAATTCCTTTATTCCATCTAGTCTCTCGTTCTCCCTTTTAGACATTAATTATCTAACCTTCTGGAAGTCCTCGCTTGAAAAAGAACATTTTGAGAAATCTTGAGAAACAACATGTTGGTGATAGTTTTAATATTGCTAGACAGGATTGGGAACGGTTCCCCTCCTCCTCCACTTTTTGGGATAATATTATAGTTGCCACTTTTAAGCTCAATCTTCCTATTGCAGAGTCGACTATAGAGAAGCTATCGATCTATCTCTCTTCCCTCTTATCAAGAGCCTTAGGTTACTGGCTATCTCTGTTAATAGTTTATCTTTTCATAGAGGACTCAAACAGCTCATCCCACTCTTGACTTTTTCTTCTACCACCGCTTTACGTCTAAGTCAATCGACGAATCGGAAGCCGCCGTACGAAACGGTGACAGGTGTGCACGATTTTGCCAGATTCCAAAGACCAATAATCGCTACATTCTGTTGGTCAGAGGTATGGTAATGATTAAGGACATAGGCGACAGTAGCTTCAATTGAATCAGGAAGGTTTACCGTCGTCAAACAATTGTGCAAATACTACAGCCAAATATCAAGTGAGAAAGGGAAAGAGATTAAGAGAAATTAGCTAACCTGTCGCTTAAAGTTGATTCTCTTGAAAATCTAAAAAAGACTGTAATAGATATTCATCTATCCTATGAAGATGATAATACATTTTGTTGGTCATAATATCTTTCAGAGGTAACCCTTTTTAGTTTTCACAATATCTTATATGGCCTCTGCCATCAGTGTTACAGTGTTAACGATCTGAAGGGTATTCCACTTATCAACAAATCAACAGGCTTTGGGCCTATTCAAAGACCAAAACTGACGAAGCCTTTAAATAGCAAACAAACCATGGAAGAGAGAGGAAGCGAGAGCAATATTACTTATGGTTTATTGAACCTATACTATTATATAGAAAAATATTGAGAGAATGTTGACTTTTCACGGCAAGTGAGAACCTTTTTGAACTTTGACAAACACACTCATCAACTGTCAGACTGCCTATACATGTTTATTTATTTATTCGGCTTTTAATTTAAAATCAAACAGTTTGTTTGTCATTGCTCAATCAAAGAATTAGCAGTTGGATGTTGAGATATTGGTGTCAATTTTACAGGAAGATGATAGTTGTCCTTTTAGGCGTATCATATATCGGCTTGGGATTTGCATAAATGCAATAAACCGGAAATGATTCCGATTAGGGTTAGGGTAGATTCCGATAAATGTAGACAAGATGGTCATTCTAATACAGATGTGCAATCCACTCCTCTCCTTTTGCAGTATCTTCGCACTGCAGATGAGCCTAGCAATTATTGCAAGTACAGCAATCACAGGGTAAATAATGCTTAAAAAAGTAGAGTTTCTCGAAAATTTTGACATTCGGTGTGAAACAATACACACAATAGCATATAGGATAATTTTCCAAAGAGACTACATCATCATTGCTTTAGGTGATGAATCCCAGTCTTTGCAATAAAGAGACAGATGGACAGAATGAGAGGAAGAATATCTTTTTCTAACCCTAACCCTAATAAATAGGGAGGTGAGGAATAACGAATTAGCAGATGGTTGCTAGGTAAGTTCGAAAATATTGGCAAAATTGGATTAATGACTAAACGAAGGGCTAAGGAAAGGATCTATATTCGACAGTTAGCTATTATTCTTCAAAGAATATTTGGCACTTCAAACGCAAATGGACCAACCACGCGTGGTTAGGAGGCAGCTTAACAGGTAGATAACTGTCATAATTTACCTGTTGAGAGGATACTCTGGTCTAATCGAACAATTGATGACCAGAGCTACTGCACCAGATAGTATTATGACAATCAAATACGAGTGCATTTTCAACGTTCTAACCATTATAAAGAGTATACAACTCCTATATAGATAATATAGGTGAGTATGGAAAAAATACCTGTAATTAGGAATTATCTGTTCAACTTCGTCAACTTTGGGTTATGTTAGGGTTACGATTTTCGTTTGGCAAGAGATCTTTGAGAAAGTAGACTTGCTTCTCAAATCTCTGAAAGGTAAATGATTCAAAAAAACCTTTTCTATCATTAAGTTGAGCTTCATCGAACAGCTCATTTATCCCTCATTGTTGGTTTGTCTTAATTGTTAATCTTTGAGCAAATTAATAGTCAGTGCCGTCCCTTTTATCCACCGCTTTGAGAGTTAATCGAATAGAAATGTTTAGCTGAAAGAAGAAAAAGATAAAAATGAAGATTGGTAAGTAATAACGAATAATAGTGTAGTTGGAATGACTTTAAATTTTTCCGATAATTTCAGGTAAGTGCTCCGATTTCCTTGAAATTTTGTATAAGGTTAGTCCTGGTACGAACCAACCTCTGTACAAGATTTGAGCCAAATCGGCCCTGCCGTTTAGGAGCTATGACGCTTTGAAAAAAGACGTAGGTCGCAAGTGGTTGTTACACCTATTCCTGATATTCGGCAGCTGTAACCTTAGGATCAGGTATTCGTCACTGCTGTTCTACACCAATTTAGAGGATAACCTGTTCACGTAACCTCAGGTATAGCAATCTATTAGTAGCCTCTCATAAAATGTATCAAAGGAAGACCTAAAATCAATTCTATGTTCCTTTCTCTGTACATATATGGCCAATCCTAGTTTCATGGGGCGGTCCAGAGCCCTGTTCATTACCGCATCATGAAATACCACTGAATCTAAGTTGAGGGCTGATTTAACCTCCAGTTTGGACTTTGAATTTAAAACCAAACCATCTACACTCTGATTATATAATATATCTAACAAACGAATTGGCTT